CTATGTGGAGTCATCATCAGGCGGTACAAGGACTTCTTCTTTCTTCATATGAAGAGCGTCATATTTAACACGTAAAAATAAATAAACATTTTTTGCAAGTTTTAGTTTAATGTCCTTGTATTGAAAGGCTATTTTTGCTTGCTCAGCTGATAACTTCATTGTGGATGAAAATGTTTATTTAATTTTACGTGTTAAATATGACGCTCTTCATATGAAGAAAGAAGAAGTCCTTGTACCGCCTGATGATGACTCCACATAGGAGTCGAAACTAGTTGCAACTACAATTAAATGGATTGCTTGATAGCAGGTGTTGTATTAAGTATGTTCTTTTAGTCATATGATTTATTTGTGTTTAAGTATCTTTTGTTGACAGATGATTTTTGTAAACATGTTTTGGTAAACATTAGTTTAGTTGGAAATAGAGTTTGTTGAAACAAGATGTGTGTTTAATATTCTTGTATTAGAAATAGAACATGGTGGCAGCTTAGTGGATTTTTATCGAACTGAAAGTCTAAAACCACACATAATGTCAAGTAAGGGCAGAAAAAAACGAAATACTCGGAGGCAAAGGTATGAGGATAACGGTGAGGACGACACCCAAAGTGAACTCAACTACGTTTCAGAAAGGGACTCTAGAAAGACTAAAGATGAGTCACGAGGTTTTGCATTGGGACATACGAACCGAGAAAATGATGCAGCTATGTATACTCCTACTCCGATGGTCAATATCACGTTACCAACTCCAGAAACGTTCTCTTTTACTCCGAATGAGTGGCATTCCTGGAGGAATCGCTTTCAAAGGTACAGACGGGGTTGCGGTCTGGATAGCACTTCCGACGCTCGGCAAATCGATGTACTTTTGTTTGTAATGGGTAGTAGAAGTGAAGATATTTTCGATTCGTTTTCACCAAAACCTAATACTTATGACGAGGCTCTTAGGGCCTTTGATGAATACTTTGTGCCAAGACGGAATATAATTTATGAGAGATCAAAATTTTTGAGACACAAGCAAGGGAGTGATCCATCTGAAAAATTTATAACAGATTTGCATGGCCTTGCGAAAACGTGTGCATGGGGTGAACTAAATGATGAGATGATGCTTCTCGTCCTCATTATTGGTATGCAAGATGAGGGTCTGAGTGATAGACTCCAGCTGGAATCTCAATTGACTCTGGAGAAAGCAATTAATACTTTGCGCCAACATGAGGAGCTAGAACGCCAAAAACGTGAACTTGCCAATACTAATGTTTTTTTGGTAAATAAAACGTCAGTTCAAAACGGTAAACCGAATCGGACAGAAGGAATTTGTGACCAGAAATACATCGAGGATGCAGAAAATACAAAGAAGTGCAGGAAATGTGGTTATGATTGGCACGGATCACTGGCCGAATGTCCTGCTAGGAAAGCCAAATGTGACAAATGTTCCGAGATTGGACATTTTTTTCGATGCTGTCCCTACCGCAAAAAGTGGATGAGAAAAAACAAAAACATTGTTAAAGAAATCGAACAGCAAGTTTCAGACTGTGGAGATCTACAGGTTCCTGAGATTTTCATCGGGAATATAGAAAACAATGACAGAGCCTGGGCCCAGGAGGTAAAAGCAAGCTGAGGAAACCAAGTGTTAGGGCTTATAAAATTTAAACTTGACACAGCCGCTGATGTAACCATGATTCCAGTAGGAGTTCTTGGTGATTTTATTAAGACTCTGCCTCTAGGAAAGTGCAAATCCCCTGTGTACAGTGCAAAGAAGAAAGAACGAATCAATATTTTGGGAACTTTAAGGCTGAAGCTTGAACATAAGGGTGTATCAATTTATGATTATGCGTATATTTCTGAGGAGATCACTGTTCCACTTCTTAGCAGACGTTCCTGTGAAGAGCTGAACCTGGTGAAGAGGATCTTTTCTGTAGATTCATCAGATATTGACTGGGTTACTGAGTACCCTAATTTATATCAAGGATTGGGAGATATGAAAGGAGAGTACAAGATAGAAATGAAGGAGAATGCAGTTCCTTATGCTATATCTACTCCCAGGGTTGTACCAATACCTTTAAAAAGCAAGGTGAAAGAGCAGTTAGAGAATATGCTTGAAAAAGGAGTGATTGTCCCAGTTGAACACGCAACTGATTGGTGCGCACCAATGGTAGTTTGCGCAAAAAAGAGAGGTGGGGTTACGATCTGCGTGGACCTATCCAAACTCAACAACAGTGTGAAACGTCGGTTTTATCCTATTCCAAAGATTGAACTTTCATTGTCCCAGATCGCGGGAGCCAAGTACTTCAGCAAGATCGATGCGAATTCCGGTTTCTGGCAACTGAACCTTGCAGAGGAGTCTCAAGATTACACAACATTTATCACCCCTTTCGGGAGGTATAAATTCTGTAAGGTACCTTTTGGAATTACATCTGCTCATGAAGAGTTTCAGTGCCGTATGTCAAAAGCTTTAGAAGGGGCAAAGAACTGTTTAGTGCACATTGATGACTGTTTGATATGGGGAAGAACGAAAGAGGAACACGACGAGTGTCTTAGAGCCGTTCTAGAGAGAGTGCAAGCTAATGGAATTACTTTGAATAAGCAGAAGTCTGAGTTCTGCAAGAAGACTGTGACATTTTTGGGGTTTGTGCTGTCTAAGGAAGGAATCAAGCCTGATCCAAGCAAGGTACAAGCAGTTGTGGACTTACCAGCCCCAAGTAATGCTAATGAAGTCCAGAGATTCATGGGCATGATCACTTTTCTGGCTAAATTTATTCCGAACTGCAGTGAGATTTTAGAGCCAATTACGAGCTTGTTAAAGACTAAAAACGATTTCTTTTGGGGACCAACTCAGGAAAAAGCTTTTGTCACAGTGAAACAGATTTTATCATCAGAGCCATGTTTAACTGTTTACGATCCGGAAAAGCCCTCGATTCTTTCTTGTGATGCTTCAAAAAAAGGTCTTGGAGCGGTTTTACTACAAGTTGAAGGAGAAAACAAGAAACCTGTGGCATATATATCTCGGACTCTAATGCCTGTTGAAGAAAACTACAGTAACATTGAGAGAGAAGCGCTTGCGTGCACTTGTGCAAGTGACCGTTTAAAATGTTTCCTGATGGGTAAAATGTACACAATTGAGAGCGACCACAAACCGCTTGTCTCAATTTTCAAAAGACAAAATTTGGACGAGCTCTCACCGAGGCTACAGCGATTCCGAATGCGTATGATGAGATACGATTATCGCATGACCTGGACCCCAAGAAAAGACCTTGCCATAGCAGATCTGCTATCGAGATGTCCTATTCCGGCTAATGAAGATGGCGAATTGACAGAAGAAGTGGAAGCCTTCGTCCATGAAATCAGTATGATTAGAATAAACACTACAGATGAAAATGTGACAAAAGTACTTCACTCACAAATGAGGGATCCAATATGTGCACAACTCAAGCTAAAAATTTTAGACGAATGGCCTGGAAAATCAAGTTTACCTAATGAGATTCAAGAATACTTTAACGTGAAAGATGAGTTAAGTTGTATTGATGGGTTATTGCTTCGAGGAACTCGGATGATAATACCTCATGAACTACGAGCGGAAATGCTTGAGAGGCTTCACAGTGGACACTTGGGAATCACAAAAACAAGGAAACGTGCTTTGGAAACCATGTGGTGGCCTGGAATTTCTCAAGAAATAGAAAGAAAAAGCAAATCGTGTCCAGTGTGTATTAAGAACTCAACTAATCACAGTGAACCATTGATTCCAGAACTTATGTTTGGAGGGAAAATAAGAGACAATCTTCCATCTACTTTGGTTGGAAATCCTGTGGAAAATAAAGACTTTTTTGAGAGGGAGAATAAGTACCAGTCGAAGTATAAGATGCAATTTGATAAACGACATGGAACGAGGGGTTTAAGTGAATTAGAAGAGGGAAGCATGGTATGGATCACAGATCTACGTAGACATGGTAAAGTAGTCAGGAAATTGAACGAACCACGTTCCTACCTTGTGGACATTGACAAGAAAACCATTCGACGAAACCAGAAGTTCTTAGTTCCTGCACCATACTACGGAGAAGATTGTATTCTTTCAAACTGTTCATCTACGGTCCTTAATTGTCCATCTAACTCACGTGATCGTCCAGACGCTGGCACAGTTACCCATTACGGAAGGTCCATCAAGATACCGAGGCGGTACCGAGCTTCATGAAGATGTAGACATCTTGAGGCGGGATGTTGTATTAAGTATGTTCTTTTAGTCATATGATTTATTTGTGTTTAAGTATCTTTTGTTGACAGATGATTTTTGTAAACATGTTTTGGTAAACATTAGTTTAGTTGGAAATAGAGTTTGTTGAAACAAGATGTGTGTTTAATATTCTTGTATTAGAAATAGAACAGCAGGTATTTAAACCTTTTTAATATTATTCGGCAATCCGGAGGCTACATCCACAATGAAGTTATCAGCTGAGCAAGCAAAAATAGCCTTTCAGTACAAGGACATTAAACTAAAACTTTTCAAAAAATGTTTATTTATTTTTACGTGTTAAATATGACGCTCTTCATATGAAGAAAGAAGAAGTCCTTGTACCGCCTGATGATGACTCCACATAGGAGTCGAAACTAGTTGCAACTGCAATTAAATGGATTGCTTGATAGCAGGTATTTAAACCTTTTTAATAATTATTATCTTCCTCGATCGGGACAAAATTCAGATCATTTCCTATAGCCTTTATGACATCATCATTGTCTCCCACAGTCACAGAAATTTAATCCACGATTGCGGCAAAAGCATGAATCTTTTGGTCGCACAATCTTTACAGAAGTGTTGGTGTATCCAAATCGGCAACGATTCTTGACAATCGATTCTCGATACCGATACAATTATCCAAGAATCTTTGGTATCAAGATCAAGTATAAGTATCAAGAATAGATACATCCCTACTTTAAATACTTCAATAACTTGTTTTCCAACTTACTACTGGTTCAAGTTAACAAAGAACTTTGTAACTTATATTTGTACAGTACACTACCTCATTTAGCAAAGCTTGTCCGTCATTGCCAGTTTTGAAGTCAGGGTTGTGTTTGAGGATGTTGCACATGAGGTTTAGCAGTCCAATGAGGCCGTCATCCTCCACTGTGTTGTGTCTAGTCTCCAGATACTCTCTCCCCACAATGGACTGGTATACTCTGCTGGCCAGCCTCTCTAAATCTATTACCTCTGCAACACATTACATGGTCCAGCAATCTATACCACTGTTTGGTGGAAGGCTCTTATATATAAATGATCTGACCTTGTCCTTAGCCCTGTGACCAGGTAGCTGAATGTCTAGTTTTCTTAGGATGGAAAGGAAGCCCTAGAAAGATTAAAAACCAAAAAGTAGGCTTTAACTTTGTATATCCAGCTCAAATGTTGTCAACGCTTGTTGTATAGTTTAGTTTGTAAAATTTGTAATCGTATTGTAAATGTTTGTGTGTGTTATGTCATACTTCGACGACGCTGCTTCAGCCGAGATTTGTCTGATGATGGCATTGTGATGCCGAAACGGCCGTAACTAAGAGTCACAACGTTTGAGCTGGATTGATGTTTTTAGTTACCTAACCAAACTCACCATTAATTGTGGTTTTGGCTCAGAAGCTAAAAAACATGGATTTTAACAAGAAAGATTGTTTGCCTAAGAGGTTTGTACTGACTTCTACCTGTTTATGTTTACTTGGTTCTTGGTTTATCTTAATTTCACACAGCATATTAATATTAATCAATGCAAATAATATTATTCTGGGGATTCAAAACAAAGACTTGGCTTGGATTCTGTTCTGACGCTAGACTACTCAGTATTAGAGACCTTCTTTGACAATTATGGAAGGTAAAAACCTAATCCAAGTAAGACTAAATTACTAAATTGATCGCTTCATTTATAGAATTTGAGTGATTATACTTGAAACCTGTTGAGAGGTACGAACCCTTCTCTCAGTCCCTCCAAACGCCTTACCCCAATGCAACTTTGTTCAATAGCACCATAAAAAGTATATTAATAAAAAGTAGAATCAGTATTGTTTGAAACTAGGCCTAGCTGTCTACGATCAGTGGGATTTTAATTGAAAGTCCTAACTTAGAAAATATATAATAAAAGAACGGCTGTTATTACTCTGTAACAAAGCAACTCAAGGTATCCCACTCCATTTTATGGCAGGTCTGCACATAAGGCATTCACCACCGAACAGTTACTCCCCAGATCCTGACAGATGGTGTTCATCTACTTGTCATTTGGTGGACGGCAGTGCTTGTAGTTTCTTGCTACAATATGACAAATGATAAGCAAACTATGCTTGAGAATAGGCAAATCCAACACTGTTCACAATGTTCAGTAATCGGCAAATGTCACATGTGCATACCTGCCCTTACACTCATCCTTCATTCATATTAGTGTAAAAACTTGACCAGTTAAGTCCCCATCTTTGGTAATTGATCTTCGGTAATTAGCAAGTTAGTTTTTATTTGAAAATTTAACCACAAACTAATTTTAAACCTTCTGTAGAGAGACAAAGAACAGTGTTCCAATAAGCCCCTTAAAACCCCCTTGATAGAGCTATTGTAAATTTCAGTTATGAACCATGTATATAACTTTAAGGATTACAAAATTAATTGTTATCTTACCTTTAGAGATATCATCAGGTGTTAGATTATCCACCAAACGGCTCAACAACCAAAAATAATCTCTGCAAGCTGGCCCATAGGGTTCTTTACCATCCTCTGGCAGAGCTTGAAGATGAAGACCCTGGGATAACAAGAATATTAACTTTCATTTAATGTGGTGTCTAATAGATTACAAGAAGTAGGAAAATAAGCTGTTAATCTAAAGAATAAAATAAAAACAATTTGTAAGATTAGATTTTATCCTTTCACAGATCACCTTAACACAATCAAACATGTATTTGAAATATTAACTTATATTTTCCATAAAATGTTAATAATGATGCTAAGCTCTTTACTTTTGCATCTATAATATTAAAACGTGACAGGGTTTTTTTATTCCACGATTCTGAATCAACCACTTGACGGATTTTCATGATTTTTGTGTTGAAAGAAAGATAATTTTGAGAACTAGGGAATGTCAAAGCCATAATTTTAGTTTAGGGTCCCAGTTTTTTAGAAATTAAGTTTAAATTTTTTAAAAGTCTAGCAGCCGACGCTGACATTCTAAACTAGCTTTTGGTATGATATAATTTGCTTAACATAACAGCTTTTGTTATGTTAAGAGCGTGTTTTAACAAACATTCAGCGTTTGTGACACAAATTTAGCATTTGGATAAAAATGAAAAGACATACTAAGGGTTGACTTATTTATACTATGTGTAATGCTGATCATTGATACGTTCAATTCTTCGGTAAGAGGATGACGGAAAATTTCCCAATTTCTCTCTAGAACTTTTTTAAGAGCTTAAAAAAACAAATAATTCAGTAAATCAAATTGTTTTTGTAGGGTTATTGGCAATTGGTATTAAAAAACTTGACAAATTCATTGATTTTATACTAAGCTATAATTATTTTACTTAAAAACACATTTTATTAGTTTCCTTGTAGCAGCAAACCTAGGTACTTGTTAAATCTAATTTTATTTAAATGGATTAATTGAAAATAATTTCAGACAAATGGAAATTTGCTTAGTCGGCAGGTTTGCTGCAGCAGGGGTATTTTGTATAAATGCTGTATTCTTATGTGTTTGTGTTTTTGTGTCCAAGAAGAGTTTATGTAATTGCTGACGACCTAATACATCAATCAGAATAGTGTTTAACTTCTTAGCAGCAGGAAAAAGCTGTCGTTATTTATAACACAACAGGTATTCTAAACCTTTTTAATATTGAGTAAAATGAGTCCTAGATAGATTAATACCTCTTGTTTGGCAGGCCTCATGACCTCGGCTTTGTCCAGCAAGACCAGGAGATGGGTGAGCATGGACGGTGCATGAGGAGGAGCAGCCAACCTAGAAACCATTTAAAATAAAATTATCCTAGGAATACATAAAGATAACTTAAAATCTGGAACTATTTTCTTAGGAAAGTTAGTTGTATACCCGTTCCTTCTTCCTTGATGTAAAACCATCACTGTGATAGTAGACTGTCAGTACTCCAACTGCACCATAAAGGTCGATTCACACACATCAGTTACGGAACGTCACAGTCCAGTCACTTCAGGCACGTCACAGTTAACAAAAATATTCTTTTATGGATTTTCTATTGCGCTATCTACACTTATCCGTTGCAGTCCCGTCAGTCGCTCTACCGGCATCCGTCAGATAATTTCAGATTTCTTTCCACCGATACTTTTGGATTGTTCGGACGACTGACGGACCGGTTTAAGGTTAGAAAATAGTGTTATTGTTGTTTAAATGGTTGTGTTTATATTTTGAGTACTGTTTGTAACAATCAACAAGATGGACAATGAAAACTTGATAGAATATAGGTTTATAATTTAAAACTTTTGACTGTAAATTACTGTGAATTTTAGAGACGGAAGACTGACTGAAACAAACTGACGGACTATTGACTGAGAAATTGCGAATGCAACTGAGACTGAACTGTTACTGGACTGTAACGGAACTGTGACTGAACTGATATGTGTGAATCGACCTTTAACAGGAACTTGTAATCCTGCCAGTTTTATCTCGGAGCAGATCATTTAAAAAATTAAATTAATAAATTAAATAAGCCTACTGTAAGTTTAGGACGCTTAAGTAGATCTAAAAAAGCCAAATATCTTATATGTGCCAAAAACTATCAATTGGAAAGATTCTATGTGTTTGTTTACTAAATGAGGATCATATCTAACAAATATTGTAACAACATGTAACAATAATTAATTATGAATCCATTATTTGGCATTTAAACTTTTCTTAATAGAGTAATTATTTTAGAGTGTAATTTTTGTGTTAATTTGGCATGATTTTCATTTAGTAGTGAACTGCACTGCAGTTTTAGTTGAGTTATTACAAAAGCTACAATTATTTACAAAAAGAAAAGAAATTGAATTCATCCTTGGTTAACCAATTTAACACAATATATCTGTACAAAATCAAATAAAAGAAATTAATTGATCCAAGCAATGGTTGTTCTTGAGACTTGACCATCAGTTTACCTGTACAGCGCCGTGCAGACTTCCCGACGAACACAAGGTTCAGGCTCCTCAAGTACCAGCCTTCTCAGCCAAGTGTGGAAACCTTCCTCGGCATAAAGAGCCTCCCTCACTCCTGGCACAGTGTAGGCCCAGGACACAATCAGAGCCATGGCGTACTGCACCACCTGGACAACAATCACTTCTTAAAGATTTGATAAAAGCTCTACAAGCCTCGAGCTTATATCAAGCCTAGCATTGTGACACTTGTATAGTTAAATATAAATGTCTAAGTTCATAAAAGGATGATGAAACAAAATAAAATGAAAAAGTGCTTTATTATCACAAAAATATACTATACAAATACACAGCAAATAATAACAAGACATAATCATCTGCATGAGAAGAACAAATTAATCATAAAAATAGCACAGGGTGTCCACCAGGCCAACCAGAAAAAATTCATGAGTAAAAAAAAAATTCCAGGTAGTTTAGGCCGTACTTTTTATACGATGTTGGAACTTAAAATTTCCAACGTGTTTTGCGCCAACTCCCGCAATGCTGTTTTAGCGCTCTAACACAGCTCGCTATTTTAGTTATCGGAAAGAGCATTCTCAGTTAAGGGGGGGGGGGGGGAAATATGATTGCTGTAATATTGCCTAACACAAGTATTCAATTTTTATATATTACTGATTAAATAATCCAAAAATTAAAAACTAATCCTTAAACCTGCAATTTATTAATAACTTCCTAAAAATAGTGATAGCCTATGTTGATACCAAAATTTGTCGAATCTCTGTACAAACACCTGAAAAATAGATTCTTAATGTTGATCATTTCTATTTTACCAAATTTTCTTAAGGATTACTACACCAACCCCTGGCTTTATGTACTTTAATATTGTATAATTTTGGAGTAATGTGTTTTTTCCAAGTGGCCTAGAGAAATAATAATGCAGAAATTACAAAAATTGCACGTAGCCAATTTATGTTTTAAACCCTTCTAAACACATTTCCATTAAATAAATACCAAGTTAAAGGTAAATGAAGATATTACAAAAAAATATAAAAAATCTTTCTAGAAGAATGCCATTTTGAAATTGTTGGTACAGTAAAGCCAAACTCGAGGTTATATTGTAATCATCTAACACAGTCGTAGAGACACCATCATCGTTTTCTGCGATAACTGAAAAATCCTGAATATCTCACTCAGTAACAGAAACATCACCACTGTCTTCCGTGGTCGTGAAAAAATCCTGATATTGTTCAGTGGTAACGGAGACATTATAATTGTCTCCTGCGATCACAGTAAAGTTATCATAATCTTCCTCAATCGTAGCTTAATTCAAATAATTTCCCGCAGTCATCATTTTAAGCAATATTTTTGGACATCATCGTTGTCTCCCGCGGTCACGAAAACGACATCGTCGTCTCCCGCGGTCACGGAGATATCATCGTCGTCTCCCGCGGTCACGGAAACGCCATCGTCGTCTCCCGCGGTCACGGAAATGTCATCGTCGTCTTTCGCGGTCACGGAAACGTCATCGTCGTCTCCCGCGCTCACAGAAACGCCATCGTCGTCTCCCGCGGTCACGGAAACGTCATCGTCCGCATGCACGATCACGGAAACGTCATCGTCGTCTCCTGAAGACACGAAAACGTCATCGTCGTCTCCCGCGGTCACGAAAACGTCATCGTCGTCTCCCGCGGTCACGAAAACGTCATCGTCGTCTCCCGCGGTCACGAAAACGCCATCGTCGTCTCCCACGGTCACGGAAATATCATCGTTGTTTCCCGTGGTCACGGAAACGTCATCGTCGTCTCCCGCGGTCATGGAAACGTCATCGTCGTATTCCGCGGTCACGAAAACGTCATCGTCGTCTCCCGCAGTCACGGAAATTTCATCGTTGACTCCCATGGTCACGGAAACGTCATCGTCGTTTCCCGCAGTCGCGGCAAAAAATTCCCGGTTACATACAAAATTCACGCATAATTCCCGGTTTTTTCCCGGTTCAAAAAAATCACGCATAATTCCCGGTTTTCCCGGAATTCCCAGTCGGTGGACACCCTGTAGCACTTTACAGAAATGGTCATAAGAATGTCTGCCGGGTTGACAACATTTTCAGACAAATGTTATTTTGATACAAATAAAACTAGGAAACTAATTATAATGTCTTGTAACATTTAAAAGCTCCCTTATACAGGGTGGGGCAATGAAAGCGCCCCAATTTATAAGCAGTACAAACTCAATAATATTCACCCTATGGATATAAATAGCACATCAAAACACAGCTTATCTTTTGCCATTTAAACTTAACAAAGTCATTTTTCCATTTCTTGAGAACGAAATCCTGCAAGTGACGTCCTTGTCCTACTTGACATTAGGCACTTGAAAACTCCATCAAATACTCCTCCAGCATTTCTTCAGAAATCACTTTAGTTTTTGGACAATTCTTAGCTTCGGTTCAAGCAAATCTGTGGGGTGACTTTGAAAAACCTCGAACTTCAAGTAGCTTATTAGAAACCCCCCTGTCCAAATAAGGAGCCAACGTAAAGCTTTCAACAACAACAGCTTCCTGGCAAATCTCTTTGGACTTTGAGTTACTGTGACTAGCACTCTTTCAACATTTGCTGGTGTACAAAGAGTTTTGCGGCACCCACCGATTATTTTTGAGGTTTAAGTGTTTATCCTAAATAGTTTTACCCAGTTCACCATTGTTTTCCAATCTGGAACAGTGCCATGTTGACCAAGGATGGAATGTGGTCCAAACAATCTCTGGGTTTTTGCACAAGAACCACTATTTTAAAAATAGGTTTGTACATCAAAATCTCAGTGTTAATAGCCTCGGGCATAATATTTACTAAAATGGCATAGTTTAATTGATGTTTTAAGCACAGCTGATCATTCGTTGTTGCAACAATTAACATGTGACAGCTAAAACAAATTGTGGCGTTCTCATTGCCCCACCCTGTATATACAAACAACACCATGTAATACACACACACACACACAAAATCAAAAATCAAAAGATATGCCTATGACAAAAGAAGCGTTATATGGTGGGGACTTGATTACGTATGTGGTTTTGGTTTCTCTTCTCTTAGTATGGAAACAAGAAACTAAGTTTAAAATATCGAAAAAGTGGAGAACCATGCAAAATTAGTAAAACATACTGGGTCGTACAGCATGCTTTGATACCAGCCTGCTGTTTAGAAATACAGTAATAAGGTTTAACAGTGTGGACATCCCTTATAAATACAGCAGATTTACCTGAGCTCTCCCCCAAAACCCAGTCTTATAATGATTTGGATCTCGTGGCATTGAGGCTTCATACAGAATGCTAGTCAGTCTTGGAATAACAGTCTCTATTTCCATCAAGTGAACCATTGCCTGGAACAAACAATCATATTAAAACGTGACAGAGTTTTTTATTTCAGGATTTTGAATCAACCACTTGACAGATTTTCATGGTTTTTGTGTTGGTTGAAAGAAAGATAATTTGTTTGAACTAACAGCTGGATGGATATAAAAATATTCTATAGAACTATGGAGGTTATTTTATTTAGTCTATGATTTTTCCATTGATTATAGGAAATAAGTAAGATTAGTAGAATTATAAGTAAGACCATTAATTAACAGTGGAACTGCTAACTGGCCATGGGCGATTCAGGTAACATTTACAAGGAATGGGTTTGTTTGATGGTGAACTGATCTGTAGGCACTGTGGTAGGTCAGAGGAGACTAGAAGGATAACACTTGGATATTTGGTAAGAGATAGATACCTTTCCGAGGAGGAATTAATTGGAAGACTACAGGCTTTCATTGGATGCCTGAACCTGTAAGGTCTATCAATAAAACAACTGTCTGGGGTGCGCAATACATCGACTTTTTGGGTGAAGTGCTTTATGGTCTCAGCCTGCCCCTGGTAGATAAGATAACATACATTACTATCGATTTAGGCTATCCAAGGTCAAGGTTGATAACATATTTAGCCTCTGGATCATGTATTTTACAAATACAAGGTTAAATACTTGCAGTGCTGTCGGTGATCCGGGTTTAGGTCAGCTACCTGGGTTTTGAGTTTAAAAATACTCCAAATCCTCTTCATGACAGTACCAGAGGTATTACATCTTTTATTTGCAAGGTAGATTACCAACAAAAGGGTCCAGCTATATTCTGTGAGGTTGTTTGTTGCTCAACAAACATAACAGGATGTAAGAAAACAGAGCAATATCGGTTACAGTTAGGAATAAAACTATATGTACGCCTTTTAATTGCTACATGACTAGTATTAGAAGTTTTAGAAGAAGTTGGTAAGACTTCTGAGATCGAAAATATAAATATATAACTAAGATAATACATACTTGACTTAGTTTTGGTATGACCATTTTATCAGATTTGGCACAACGTTTTCTCTTGTTCTTGGTAGAAAGGCTGGAGACTTCATCACAGTTGTGTGTCATTCCCAGCTGACACAACAACTTGAGCAGACAAGCTAGGCAGTCCTGCTGCCACTCACTGCCACCAGATACTTGTAGCACCCCTGTAGAGCCACACACAATCAAACCACTTTATACTCCTGGGGCTTAAATATAGAACCAAAGAGAAATGTTTCAATCTAATCATTATTTATGTATTTAGTAACTAATAGTTATTAATACTTTAATAGAAATGAAGCAGGAAAAGTCTCGTTGCAGGGGATGATGATGACGGGAATCTTAAAAACTATATTTTGCAATGAACTATATTTAGACAATAGACAATTAGACAAAAGACAATTAATCTTTATTTACACATTCATTAAGAGATTAATTGTAAAAACTATATTTTGCAATGAACTATATTTTGATTTGGAACTAGTATAATATCTGGTGAAGAGTTAGCCAAACAGGAACAGATATTTGCACCCAATCAGAGATATAATATTTGGGTTTTACCATTCGGAAACAACTATGTTAAAAATAGAGGTGTGCAACGGCTTGATTTTAAACCAAACCGAACCTAGCCAACAAGCTTGAGAGATCGAGCACCAAGTCAGATAATTAAGAGGCGGTCGGATAGAGCCCCGTATCCCATATTTTGCAGGCGTCACGAGCAACAACACAGTCCTCCCAAAACAGACTTTTGTAATAGTACCACCCTTGGCCACCAGTTTCGTGGCTGTCGCATAACGGGATCTGAGATTGTTGACAACCCTGTGTTACCTAGAAACTTGAAAGCATCAACTCGACTACCCTCAGCCTGGGTCCTAGCCCTGGTCTATTGTTCCACCGCATGTTTCACTTTCACTGGTTTGCTACCTTCGCTCACCCACCCTTTGCGTGTCAGCAGGTCTCAGTTCGTCACCGCACAATATGCTAATTTTCCACACAAAAAATGTTTTGGAGATACAAATAGCACTTTCAGTAAGACATTTCGATTTATACACTTAATTTAAATATAAAAATACATGATAATGTATACAATTATAAATAATATACTAGTGCTACTGGGCTCAATAATGTAACTACTTGGCCTATCCCATACATTTTAGCGAATTTCCCTGTAATGAGGTAGCTATTACCGTAAGTGGCATGGTAAGACCTACGCCCGGAACCGATTTACTTTTTCATTTTGATGTCCCCAGAGGCCAAAAACACCATTCGTTCAAATTTTTATATATATGTGTGTCCATGAACACGATAACTTGAGTAATTTTTGTCCGATTTTGATGAAATTTTTTTTTTTGAAGGTGTAAGGCGGGAGGCGGGATAAACTTGAATGAGTTTGCGAACCAGCATGATCGGACCATGGGGATGGGGTTTTATGGGGTAAAAATTGGTTTTTCTAATTTTTGACCCTATAAACACAAAATTTCCCAATTTCTCTCCAGGCCTTTATAAAGAGCTTAAAAAAAACAAATAATTCAGTGTATCAAAGTGTTTTTGTACAATTATTGGTTACGGAGAAAATTCACAGTTTTGTAGACTGTAAAAAATAAAATGGTATATGTACACAAACTACAAACATTAAATCACGTAAAAATATGCTCAAACCTATATATATATAAAAAAAAACTACAAATATTGTCCCTAATTATACTACCGTACAATAAAATACCTATGAAAAATACTGAACATGTTTACAAAAGACTGAATATATACGAATGCTTCGCAATATAATGTTACCCGATCGTCTTAGTCCATATTTTATATCTAATGATAGAAGGAATTTCTTTTAGATCTATCAGGCATAGCCCTAACGTAGGCCTGTAATTGAAATTACCTTTCACACTGGTTTAAAATAGTTAAAATACTACATCAACCTCACTACTGCACACTTTATTCAGGTTGAAATTTTCATTTACAAAGGTGCTCTTCTTTTCCACGAAACACTGAGAATTAAGGACATTAATGCGTTATCAACAGACATACTCACAGAAATACAGAATTGAATTAGGGGATTTGCTACGCGTTAACCAAAGCAAATTACAAACAAAATTATTTATTTTAAAGTTGTTATAGTGTCATCAAATTTTATGATAAACGTATTTAGGCCTAATCCTAATCAAACTGTAAAATTGGTGTAAATCCGTTGGCAAATATATAAATAAGTAAATAAATACACAGTCCACAAAACATTGATACGTTGACAACGTAAAGCTTTAAAAATTCATTATGGTTTGCCCAAAAAATCTTTCACTTGATGTGGTATCTTGGTATCAGTATCGAAGTAAAATTCAAATTCATGATGTAGCCCCTGAACTGTTTAATTAGACTAATATGAGGTACGTACCTTTACGTCAACAGTTCAATTGTAGTAAGTAGAACTCACAACATATTTCGCCTATTCAAATCTATTCAAACAGTATCGAAGTTATTAATCCCCCTTGGTTTTGGATTTTTTTTTCGAAAATCAAAGTTATTTCCCATTAATAGCATTATTTGTAAGCAGCTTTTAATGTTAACATATTAATGACAGTTTGAAGAATAACCCTTATCCAAACAAAGGGTTCTTATTTGAAAGATTACGTAATCTCTAAACGATGATCGGTATATTCCCAGCACTGAGCACTATACAACACTGATTCACGGCCTTTTCCCCGGTTATCAAAACTCAAGAACAATCGTTGCACTTGCGATTAATTAAACCGGCTAAGTAAGGCACAACGTTTTTAATCCCACTTGGTTTGGATGCTTACAAAACTTGATCGGAAATGGTTGCGGTATTTGTAAACAGTATTTAATGTAAACATATCATATGTGATAGCTAGAAGTGAGAACTAATCCAAATAGCTGATCGTTACTTCATAAAATTTAATAGTAAACATTGGAAGAAAATTTGACAAAAATCGAACAAAATTGGGGTTTTGATGGTTTGTTATTTTGTTTTCAAGGAAGTGGGGCCATGTTTTTATGGATGGGCACTTGGGGTTTTATCTTAGCTCGAATATTATAGACCTAAAACGGGACATCGCAATTCCAAGATAATCCATGAGTCAGAAGCCGGCTTGGCTACGACGCAGTGCTGGTCCGGAGGGTGGATTTGGTTCCTGGAAGACCTTAATCGTATATACCACGTATGTCAGAAAATGCTTTTGTTCCACTGGACCTTGTTTTCATTCTGGGAAATAGTTTGTATCAAACCGTGTATTGCAGCAGCTGTCTTAACACAGCTAAGTCCGTAATTAACGTACTAAGTATGACCAAAAGAGACGTTTATTCTAACGGAACTTGTTTTATATTGATGAATAGTTTGTATCAAACCGGGTGTTGTAGAACTACTTTTATCTCTGATGACAGTAATATTTTAATACAACGGTAAATACATAGTCCGAAAATATTAGATTCTTAGATTCCTGTGAATTAAATATCATCATTTCCTTGGCATTATAATACATCAGGGATGTAACGACATAACGTTATTTATTTATTTAAACAGATCTGTGGCCAGTTTAAATGAATTGTATTTGGCGCGGTTTGAAAACGTGCTCTGCAGTCCACAATCGACTGTGCTGCCATCGGCCGGGACATCGTCGAACTAGTACTCAGTCGGCAAGCAAGGCTTTTTTGCAAGCTTTTACAAAAAAATACAAAACTTAATGTTAACCATCGAAAAATAAATATCTGTCACACTCAATACACTAATGAATATATACTCTTCAATATGGCGTTTGAACCAGAATTGTTTATAGTGCCAGTCATTTTATATTTTAGCAGAAAGTATTGCAATTCCTAATGGGAAATGTAAGAAATTATTTATTTTATGTCCGGCTTATAATTAAACATCATGATTTTTATATTGTACAGTCTTAATCCTACATACATTTACAATGTTTTGAGTGTGGGAAATAATTTTTGGAACACGGATAGACCAGAAAACGAGGAATTTTTATATGCGCCCCATGTTAAAGTGACGGCCAGTGTCGGCAGCCGAGAATCTCTGTCCGACCGCCTCTTAAGCTTGAGCCGTGCTCTTTAGTCTATTATCGCAATAATTTCTAAATTCTTTTTCATTTAAAGAATGTGAAGTGACATTATTTTATTTTAAATTAAGTTCCTTGTTTCATCATCCTTTTATGTACCTAAACATTATATTTAACAGGAGATCAATAATCTATAATTTAAAAAAAGATTTTTGCAAATTAACTTACTATATGGTATATATGAGGTTACATTACCTAAATCACCAAGTGTGATGTCACAGCAAATGTGTAATGGTTTCTAATTAGTATTAATATTTGAATAGTTGTGGTTGCTATTGGTCAGATGTGCTGTGAAGTTAGATTTCTGTACACTGGTGGCTTTAGGCAAATGTTCTTTAAACCTCTTTTCAAATGATCGTCCTGTTTGAGCTGGATGTAGAACTTCTCGTAGTCGTCACATGTTATTTTGCATACACTACATTTCTTATTTTCAGAAAAGGACATAGATTAACCGCATTGGAAAATTATCAGATTTATAAAGCTACAAAGAACCAGGCTCAAAATTCGAATGACAAATGTTTTTTCCAGTCAAATGCATTGTTTGAATCCCTCATAAAACTAAAGAGCTCACAGCTAGATGATACAGGTGGCAGAGGACAAAGTCCAAGTTGATAAACCAGGAAGCGGCATACCATCAGTCGAGTCTCGGCATGCGAGCAGATCTGTACTATGTGACGACCGTTTACCAGGAATTAGTTAGAAGGCCTTTTTTAAATGTATTTTTGTACCGGTAATGTGCTTTGTACGTGTGTGTTGGAAAGACTGTGACGTGACCTGTGGCTAGGTTCAGACAAGTTTTTGTAAGATTTGACAATGACGCTTTAACGTCAAAACGCATGTAATTCTAATCTTTGGACTTACATGGATCACTTGGCGATTAAGTAACCTCATATATATTATATAACAGTGATTCAGAAAAACGTCAAACAACATGAAGTTATTATATGGCATTACGACAAATTCATTACATAAAACTGCTCGAGGTGAGCTCAGCTTGATAGAAAATCTCAGGCTAACAACCTCCAGCTAACAACTCAAAAAGTAACATAAGTAGTGTACATAATCAACTTTACCTGACATAAAAATATCAAACAAGTGGCGAAGTCCTCCATTTTGTACAAACATTTCACTCCAAGGACTTTCAGAGGAACTTTCTTCATCTGTGTTTATCTGTAAACAATATGGAAGTATTAAAACTGTTAGACTCAAAATTGTAGCTCTTGTTAACCTTAGTAGTAATTTCTTTAACAAAATTTAAAATCACTTACATTTCATGAGCAATATAAAACCTAAAACTAAAATTTACCTAAAATTTTAATAAGCTGCCTTCAATAATAAAAGAAATTATTTGCATATCAACATTTAAGAAAACACTTAAGACATGGCTCATGGAGAAAGCATTTTATTTACTTGAATATTTTTTTAAGGTTGTTGTTTGTTACAATATAAAAAATTAAATTAAATTAAATGTTTATTCGTCACACAGAATTTACATAGTTAATTGTGTTACATCCCCTTTCAAACACACAATGCACTAGCACTACTGTTGATGAATGCTAGATTACTGTGCAGAACATACCATTTGTTTGGTTTAAAAGAAGCTTTTTGTACATTATTAAACTTACAGACTTCTTATGCAGGGAGGAGTTTCTGTTGAGACTCTCTACGATGTACAGTGAGTACATGAGTTTCTGAGGACTGGCTGGATCCAGCAGATGTTGTAGCTTGCACTCAGAGTCCAGTTTCTGGAAGCCGTCCAGCAGCGTGGGGCTGGTGGGCAGCAGTATGAGGATGTCCCACACTCTCCGAGACAACACCTGCGCCTTGGTGTGGGGAATGTGATGCTGCAACAACCACAAGTGTGTCACTACAGTATTGTCAGAATAGCGCTATGATTGTGATTGTTTTGATGGTTAGAGTGGCTGGTAACAACATGGTGTCAACAAAACTGACTCCTTAAAATCCCATTTAATTTTGGTATTTTGCCGAAGGTACTTAAAGCATTTTTACCAACAGATATTTCCTGCTGCTTAACTTATGTGAAGAGACTTGTATAAGCTTTTACTGGTGTAAAACACAAATACAGTTAATGTATTAAAAACCTTATGATTATATTATTGATTATTGGCACCAATTTTTGTGCTGAAAAGACAATAAATATGGTTGCCTGACTCTGTTTGAGCTAATGCAACGACATACATGTTACCAGAAACGGTACAATAATTTCTTATCAGCAAGATGCTCGCCAGTGGCCTGATGTAATGTGTTGATTTACCTATTATGACTTGTACATTTAATTGTTTCAACATTGCATTAATTATTATCCTACATACAAATTTTCAACAAAGTTTCCGTATAACTCCCACACTACACATGATTCCTGTAACATGAACACCCTGTTTGTATTGTATTATTATCAGTATACAACACTATTAAAATACTTATTACAATACTGTACAAAAGAAAGCATAAATTGTTTTCTGAAGATTAAGTTGGTTCAGTGCCAACCATACAATACCATACTGCAGTCCATTGTTACTGTTACTATAACTGTATTGTTTTATATAATGTGAGTACTTATACACACACAAAATGGATCATGTTTTACTAATTCAAATGTGGAAAAAAAGGAAGGTTAATTCTTCATTTTACAAGATTTACTAAGACTACATGCCAAATGTTTATGTTCACAGGAGGTTTAGAATCACTTACTCCGCCCTTGACTTGAGTTTTCATGGCACTGAGGGTCTGCATCAGAGTGAACAGTTGCTCAAAGTAGTTAGGCAGCAGCAGCAACACAGTAGGCAGACTCTCTCGAGGAGGAGGAGGCAACATGGACGGAGTGTCCCCTGAGTCACCTCGCTTCTTCTGTCTTGAAGCACCCACTGAGATGTACACCATCTGAACACAATGACCAAATGTATCAATATTGATAGTAGTAACACCAGGGATTTGCCGTCCCCAACAAAAAACTATTCCAGAAAATAAATTTAACTTTTATCTCATTATTTCAAAATCAAATGCTAACTCAAAGTTATTTTTTATACAACTAAAGTAAAAGTTCTGTGCTTGTAGAATATTGGCTTTACCTACTAAAATCATGACTTCGTCCATAAACATGTATTAATTTTAGATTTCTCATTATGTATTGTTAATTATATTAGGCAAAGAAAATTTTAAACTGTATTCACTTGAAGTAATGAAAAAAATAAGGGGATTATTATTTGTTTCCCCAAGGATACCAACAAGTGTGGATCATTTGAACACCTACATTTTATCCCCAAAGAAAGCAATATTCAATATAATGTTTCTTCCTATTCTTATGTATATTAGAATAGGAAAAAGACCTGGTTGTCTTTGAAGCCAATCTCGCCGAGTGTTTTCTCGTCAAACTCAATGGTGAGTTCCTGGCCCTGGGTGATGATGCGGATGGGTCCGTCGCTGAGAGCGGTAGAAGGCTTGTGACTCAGTGTCTCCCACCAGACTGTTACTTCAGCTCTCAACTCTGCCACATAGTCTGTGCTCAACATCTCTATGCTGACTTTGTCCTGAACTCCTGCTGGCTGCACCACTACCTACACACACATACACGATAGATAAAAAAACATTCTTGCAGGAAATCCAATGACTGATGAAGCACAATGCTATTTTTATAAATAGCCCAAGAAGAAGTCACAATTTCCATAAAAACTGTGCTGCTCCTGACACAATTCAATTTCCAAGTCTTCAAATTTTAACATGAGTGTGAATTTTTTACAATAACCCAAATGGGAAATACAATACCCAAATACTTGAGATATTAGTCAGCAAGTTTGCTATTAAAGGGTCTCTACTACATTCTGAATAAAAAATTTGAATGGACAATTCCCATACATATAAGGACCTTTGTCGGTGCAAATACAGAATATATGTGCTCCTAACCAACAAGTGATTGATAAAATTAATGCCCATTAAAAATTTAAGGACATAGTCTCTGGCATTTAAGGACATTTCATGGCCAGTCCAAAATTAAGTACGATTCCCGGATTTGGATTTCCCGATAGGTAGACACCCTGTTTTACAGTGTTATTGGTTATCAAATTTCCTACTCAATTCAACATTTAACTAATAAGGGAATACTGACACAACAATAAAAATAGACTCCTCGAAGAACATGTTTACCTTGAGTACAGCTCCCCTCTCCCTCTCTCCTATAACATGGCTTCCTAGACTTTGGCCCTCTATAGTCCAGCGCCGTAGATGGTAAGCATACCTGTGAAACAATTACATCATGATCATGTATAAGTTCTGTGGGATCAATGGGTGACATGAATTTACATGTAAGACTACATACATGGTATATTAGATCTTAGGTTTACCTGCGTTTGAAAGTGTCAAGATGAGTGTTGAGCAGCAGTAAGGCTCGTTGTATACATAGAAGGCTGGCCTCCTCGTGGTTGTGTAGGTCCTGAGTGGCTTGTGCCAAGTTGGCCATACACTGTGACACAAACTCAGACTCCTGCTCCAGCTGGCGACCCATGTAGTAGTTGTTGAGATACTGGATGGCAGCCATACTCACATCTAGACACAAACAATACTTAAGTCACACGACTTTAAACTACCACTAATTATTGTCATTAAAATTTAAATCAAATAGTACAAATTAGTACTGAATGTAATACAGTATTAACACAGATTTTTAGCCTGATGGTAGCTTACAGAATACTGCAATCCTTAGTACAACGGAAGGATATAGAGGCTGAAACTAGTTTTTTTCCACGCCAGGGAAATTCTATTCTGTAGCTACTACTTCAGGGACATAGCAGTGTTTCATGATCATATCCCTGAGGGAATTGCCATTTGCTGTGGCTTAATTGACCTTGTTATGTTCTGGATACCGTCTCACCTCATAACAAGATCAGATTCCAGATTCTGAAACGTATAGTAAGCTCATGTTAGTATGTTGTGTGTTACCAGTGTTGTTGACTCTGAGAGCTATCTTCCACAGGTGGTCCATGTCCGGGGAGTCGCAGGAGGTACGAGCCATATTGCACAGTTGCTGGTACAGGTCCAGTGCTGTCATGGAGATGGTCTCAGGAGGCAAGGTGGGCAGCTTGCGAGTGTACAGGTGTCGCAGAGTATCGGGTCTTAGTGCATGTTGCTCACGAGCCTTGGTCTGCCGCAGCAGCCAGCTAAACAGTTCGTCTGAACACTCTGGATCACTTGCCAGACACTGCCACAGGGTGTCCAGCTCCTCCACACTCAGTCTACACAATGGACAATAGGATAATGAGTGAGTAGGGAGTGAACTTAAAAATTAAAAAAATGGATTACTGTTGAGGGTTTACTTGTTACCATTGTGTTACCCATTGTGTATGTGCAACCTAACCAGCAAAACAAGGGGGTAACCCTATATAAGGGTGAATTGTGGAGGTGTGCAAGCCTAATATTTTCAATTGAGCCTAGTAATATTATACCGTACATTTTGTATAACTTGAATCAAGCTTTTAAGAGCTAAGCTCTTCTATATAATGGATTTTGCGTAGTGCAATATAGGTAATATATTAATTTGTTACAAATCTTATTTTCAAATTGTAAATAAATGTTATGATGTTATCTAATAAAAAAAGAAAAAATCTCACCTTATATACTCAGGCAGGCCCAGAGGGGAGTATATGTGTGTGAGGAACTGTAGCCTGACTTGCACATGAGTGAGAGGGAGAGGGCCGGCAGTAGTACACACTCGTAGGTTGTCAAAGAACCGTTCCATCATGGCATGTTCCTTGAGTGCCCACAGCATGACATGGTGAGTGTCTACAGCACCACCGCGGAAATGCTGGAATGATGCAAACAGCTTGGGCAGCAGCCTAAGCGACACCACCACTGACCTGGGCAAAACACACCACTTACTATTGAGCAAAAATTATGTAAATACAGTAAATGTACATTCATATCACTTTAACAAACTTTAATTTATTTCAACAAAACAACTTTCAGGTAGTTGGCTTTTTAATAAAATTTGGTGTAACTTTCTTCAAAGAAAATAGGCGGAGTTGAGCCGAGTTTTTACTATAGCGATGACAAATGCATTTGTAAAGATTTCATAGTAAAAAATTCACGCTCTTGTCACAATTGCAAAGGATGAGGATGATTTCTACAAGACAGCAAAAGATGTTCAAGATTTTGCTGCATTCACAGAAATATGATGATGATGTTTCTGTGACCACGGATCACAATAATTATGTATGTCTATACAACGTTGGGAGATGATGGGGATATTGCCAATATCACGGCTTCTACCTTCTTTAATTACAATTCTTGTTTAAGGGGTTTTAGGTTTTAGAAGTTCTTTTATTCTTTTTAAATTGATTAGGACAATTAATTGGGGATACAAATGGTTGGAGTTTGCACAATTGAAGTTCTACTGTATTTTAATTGAAACATTTGACCAAATATGGCTTTAGTAGGCTAGTATTTTATTTATTTATTTCATACAAAGACAATGACAAAGGGCATTTTAAAACTAAGCTAGATAAGCTTTAAAAGGGCATTTCTTGATTTTGCTTGTGCCTATTAAATGCATCACGTTGAGTCAGCTATATTATTAGTTTTCCCTTCCTAAACAGTAACAAAGCTTCAACCAATAAACTAAAAAACTATGTAACATGAGAATAAACATATACTGTAAAACTGAAACATGAAATAGTTGAACAAAGAAAAAAGTAACAAAATCTGTTTATATATAAATAATAGTTTACCGTACCTAAAACCACCAGTATTTAGGCTCAAGATAATTTAATATTACCAATTCTATCAAATTGGTGTCTTTGATCAAATGCAAATTGCACGTGTCATTACTATCAGAGTGATGTCAGCGTTAGGTCAAGAATTGTTCACGATCCAGCACCAACACACCAATTTTCTTTAAACTAAAATGTTAATAATTTAATGTGAGCAGATTGACTTTTATTAAAATATGAAGTCCCTCAATGAGGGCTTACCAGTTTTTTGCTAGGTTATCCAAACACCCCTCGATGAACTTCATCCTTATCACCTTATCACTGCTGAAGCACAAAAGGTTGCATAGAACTTTCTCAGCTTCCATCGCCAAACCCTCCCCTAATTGATTCTGTAAAAAATATTGTTATTGTTTACTAATTGCAATATTAATAATTAATTATGATGGTAATCTGTAGGAAGTACAACCACGTTGGTACGTTTCAAGTATATATATATGACTTGAGGATAAAACATTTGATATCTTTTCTACCTATTAAGACACTATTCTAAAATGCAGTAAGAGACCTGTTCATGTTTTACTCAGTTGAAATTTGAAATACTTTTGTCTATTTAAGGCTGTCCACTAAGCCATAACTAAACGGAAGCCACCACTAAGCATTAGCTAATTTATGGTTTGACCCATGTCCATAACATTTGATTATCGGGGAGTGACTGACTGTAAATCAAGCAAATAACCTGATGATGGTCACAAGAAAGATGTTATTTAAAATGCCATGTCCCCTTAGTTTCTATATTTGATATTCATATTCCTAACTCCAATCGAGAAAGAATAGCAAGGATAGCTGATGGATAGATCTCGTTGTTGTTTCATAAAAAAATTTGTTGAGACTATTGGATTTTAGAAACTAAGATGAAACTACTTTAGGACAGAAAAGCCGATACTTTTAAATTACTATTTTACAAAACTCAAGGGCACATTCATTTTCACAAAGTACTAACAATTTTATCGTCCTGTAGAAGGTCCCACAACAGTGTGTTCCCCGGTTTGCAGACATTCTCCAGGTTGAACTGTGAAGGGATGGGAGCCAGGTGGTGCAGAGCGACCTTGTTGGCATGTAGCCTCGCCATCTGTCCCAGCTGTTGTGGTGTCAGATGAGCCTGCAACTGTCACAAACACATACAGTAATGGGAAAAAAATGTTAAAAAATGTTTGCTCATGGGGGTGGAGAAACCCTTTCCCAACAGGGGTAAGGTTTGATTGAGAATACCATCTGGAGGACAGAAGACCATCAGGAGCAGCAGCTAGTCTCAATCGAAGCCACAGCAACGTCCCTGATACCACACTGGTGTTTGTATGCTGTTTAGCACCCAACAAGCAGCAGTACCTAGAGAGTTTGGGAAATGTAAATGTGGTCCCTGTCACGGTTCTAGTCACTGATCAGAAGCGTATACGAGCCGATTTCTTGGGCTAGTTAATCTAAAAGGGAGTCAGCCATCCTGGACCTCTTAAGATTACCGTAGACAATTCTCACTTCCAAAACTGATACCTACATCTGATTGGCTTATTGATGGTCTTCGTTTACCTCAGTTTAGACTTAGTCTTGAGCTCAAACACAACTAGATATGCACTTTAGCATATTGGTTACATTATTACTAACACTAATTAAGTCACAAAAAAATGTAGCTTATTTTGAATTAAATAAATTAAAATTTGTTAACACATAAACAGATGTTATACAACAGACAGTAATTATACCTGAGCTCTGGCAGCAAATTGAGCCAATTCCTCATCACAGCCAGATTCTTCCCCATCAAAGTCGGCCATGTTCTTCTCTGATTTGTTGCTCATTCTGGAAGATAAGCTTCCATCACCTTCTCCATCTTCAACACTTAGTATTTCTTCCATCATTTCACTGCAACGATTTTGAAGTATTAACAAATAAATCAAGAATAGTTGTGTTTTACTTTCCTAATAAACAAGGAAAATGAAAAAAAATCAATGTTGTTCAGAACTTTGATTAGAGAGAAGTTATTTTTTCAGTGAAACTAATGACTGTAAAATAAAACAAATGTTAGGCAAATATATAGTATTCCAAATTTTTATTTTTAAATGTCTAAGTTTGAATTTGATTTTCTGAGAATATGCAACATAGTAGGAGAAAGTTAATTGACAATATTAGTTAAAAGATTACGACTCAGGACTCACTGAGGGTTAGGCTGGAAGGTAGAGGTGATGAAAGGTCGGCAGTGAGGAGCGTTCTGTACTAGACTTGCCAGCTCTGTCATCACAGCTGTCTGTCCACAGTCAGGGGAGGTTCTGCTCACAAGCTGTATGTAGTCTGAACCTTGCCTGTCAACATAGAATGATTACGACTCATTGCGGGTTAAGCTGGAAGGTGGAGGTGATGAAAGGTCGGCAGTGAGGAGCGTTCTGTACTAGACTTGCCAGCTCTGTCATCACAGCTGTCTGTCCACAGTCAGGGGAGGTTCTGCTCACAAGCTGTATGTAGTCTGAACCTTGCCTGTCAACATAGAATGATTACGACTCATTGCGGGTTAAGCTGGAAGGTGGAGGTGATGAAAGGTCGGCAGTGAGGAGCGTTCTGTACTAGACTTGCCAGCTCTGTCATCACAGCTGTCTGTCCACAGTCAGGGGAGGTTCTGCTCACAAGCTGTATGTAGTCTGAACCTTGCCTGTCAACATAGAATGATTACGACTCATTGCGGGTTAAGCTGGAAGGAGGAGGTGATGAAAGGTCGACAGCGAGGAGCGCTCTGCTCACAAGCTGTATGTAGTCTGAACCTTGCCTGTCAACATTCACATTTCTACTTGTAAACCATTCTACAAGTAATATATTTTAAAAATATGCAGGACAACAATTTTGACTTTGAGACGGTGAATGATTTTGTCTCCTAACTTTCTTTGGATTGTAGGTACTTTTTTTAGTAGAAACGTCTGTACTGTATTTGTAAAAAAAATTTTTATGAATGTACATCGAAACACATATTAAGTATCGCATATGACATCTTCTGTGATTGCAATTAAATTGTCCTGTCTTGTCATTTTCCTTCACCCACCTTTGTCCGGAAGTTGGGTTAGGATGACTTCATACCCAAGATCTACCAACATACCTGAGCATTAAGTTGGGCACCTCCTGGTCCATCACAGTGTCCGGGTCCAGTGAGATACGTCCGGCCAGCATCACTCCCTCCTCCTCACTCTCACTCTCCTCCTCCTCTTCATCCTCGTCTTCTTCCTCCTCTTCGTCAGAACATTCTTCCATTTTCACAGAATTGCTGTTTTCATCTTTCTGCTGCTCACTGGCTTTCAGTTTCTCTAAAACATGAAAACAAGTTTATTCCATAAAGGGAATTTTTATTATTTGTTAAACTTTACTTATTTATCTTACTATTTTTTTCAAGATTCATCATAGTGATGAAGGTTTAATTAAATAAATAAATACATCTTTATTGCCACTTAACGTTGACATAATATGGCAATGCTATAAAACAGGTGACATTGTCAAAATACAAATACCTTAAAGACTAAGGAGCTACAAAAGACTAAAATAAACTGAAATTATACAGTAAAAATTTAGCTAAAAACAAATTTGTTTTTACACATCTTGATTAGTTAAGAACTCATCTATACTGTAATAGATATTTCTTAAAAGAAAATTAGCAAGGCTGCAAAATCTTGCACCTTGGTTAGTAAGTGTACCTTTTACTATGGGTCTGCAGGTCCCCAATATTTTCAGGTTGGGTCAGACCAACAGTTGGCCTGATGGGTCAGTTTGGGTCAATAATGACTATCGAGCTTAGCTTGAGTAAAGGCAAGCCGAGCGGCTATTTTCGCACTCGCTGAAAGCATTTGTGAGGATACAATAAAACTTGCTGATTTCAACGCAATCACAGGTTACGTTCACGGTTTTGCCGCAATCGTGGGAGTTGATGATTTCGCGGTGACTCAGGAAGATGTTCTCGATTTTTCCGTGTCTATGGAAGGTATTCACAATATTGGTGTGACCACAGAAGATGATCTTGATTTTGCTATGACCGCAAAAGACATTCACAAGTTTGCCGTGACCCTTAAAAATCCATACTACAAGCAAATGGCACTAAAATCAGGTTTTCCTCGTAAAATTTAAAAATTCACATATGATTCTCGCAATGTGACCACCCTGGTTCATATTCAAATTATTTCTGACTATCAAGGAAATGTGAAATCAACAAGGTCTTTTTTATACAATTATACACGTAAATATACAACTTATAACTTTAATATGCAATTTCTATACACATTTATTACATAAATCTATCTTAGTAAATATTGAGTTAAGGATGTAACATAGGGCACAAGGACCTAGGTTTTATGGATTTTTTGTGAGGATAGCAGGCTTACCTGAATCGTAAAGAGTCCAAACTTGTACAAGACAGACAGCACTTTATACTACTATATACAAAAAATTTTAGAATATTTCACTGTCACTGGCAGCATTTTCATATAAAGAAGAGAGAGTTTTCTTTAGGTCCAATATGGTGTAAATAAGTGGTTAATTTACCTTTATTTCATCTTGTACACAATGCCATCTTGTACCTTTACCTCCTCTAGGGTGGATGTCCTATCTTTACCTATCCTGTGGATGTGGATATGGCCTTTCATCCAACCCCCTTCAATAAGCAACCCAACAAGCAGGCTTACATAGTACATACATACTATTCATAGGCTTTAGAGTGTATATAAGATCAAGTGAAACCGTGGTTTTTATCCATACCACTGCAACACTGCCCCAACAACTCACTGAAAATGCTGTCAGTGACAGTGAAATATTCTAAATTTAATATTTTATTTTGTATATACAGTGTAAGGTTTTGTGTATCCTGTGCCAGATTGGACTCTTTTTCCCATTCAGGTAAGACTGCTATCCTCACAAAAAAATCCTTAATAAATATCAAATTCAACTAAACAAAGATAGAGACGGCTCTTACCACGTTCATGCAATGTGCTTGAATCTTTGACTATTATAATTTATAATACAGGTTTTAAATATAAGTTTATGTTGTAATAAGTAAGCTACAAAGAAATCAACATGAGAATTTTTGTCATACAAACAATGATCCCTACCTCGCATTGCCTTTTGCTCTCTGTGCAGTTTAAGTCTTTCTTGTTCAGAACTAGAAGGTCCAACGTCAGCTTTGTTCAGCCTCAGATTATGTCTTGCCAATTTTGAGTTTGAATTTGGTGGCCTAGTAGGGAAAAGATAACAAGTTAAATCTATCTAGTTGATAACATACGTAACATTAAAACATAATGAACACAATCTGAACATGCTTACTCTCTTGATGAAAATGTTACTGTTATATTCCTAAAAGGTATTGTATCAATCTGTACACTTATCAACTTAAATTAACACTAATACCGAAACCCCGGTCTGACAGGCCCACGGGAATTTTCACAAACGCATGTTTTCAACACTGTTCACTTGGGAGATTCCTTTCCCCTAATACCTTCCCCCCTTTTCCTCCCCTACCAATTGATATATTGTTTGTTCATTTTGCATGGGTGCCGTGACCTTGGCAGGTTGTCTGTTCATAACATGCCCGTCTCAGAAACCCAGCGTTAGTGTATTTTAAAGCGCGGTCTCACAGGCCGAGGGTTTCGGTTTGTATGTTTCTAAGCGGAGTCCATTATTTTTCAAATGGGGTCTCACAGATCGGGGGTTTCGGTTAACGTCAGCCTAGATAGGGTTTCGGTATTAGTGTTAAACATATAATCAGACAAAATCTACATTATAAAACATGCATCTTTTACAATATGTAGCAATGCTTCGAGGGCAGCTAAAACCCAACCAAATTCAATTTCAAATGTTCAATAACCTACTAAACTGAAAGAACTAGGCAAAATAAAGTACAGTCTCTTCATTTAAACAAAGCAGCAAAAATTAATTCTCATTTTAAGCGGTCAACTTCAAGTAAATGATACAGCAGTACATCATGTCAGAGAAACAACCTCTTGATTTGGAAAAACCAAATCAAAACACAAGTTAGTCAACTACCCTTGCACAACCCTCTTTAGAATGAAGTTTCCTTACTGTGAGAAAGGCAACTGTTTGCGTTTGTTGACTCGTCTGTTGGCCGGAGTAGAGGCTTTGACTTCACCTTCCTTGGCACATGTGGCTTCTTCTTCCTCTATATCTTCAATTTTTGCACTATCGGCTGAACAGTAAAGAAAAATACTTATCATTTATGGTAAAACATTATGCTGTGGGTAGATGCAAATAGAAGAGGTCTCAAAAGTGTATTATTCACAAAAAAATGGATAATCAAGGATGATTTACGGTAATGCTAGATGAGAAACCAATACAATATAAATACAGTAGAATCTCGATTATCCGACCTAAACCGGCTGCGGCAAGGTCGGATACCACGGAAAATGACAAAAGTGTCGTTTGTGCTGGAGCTGTGACCGCAGGATGAATTGACGATCACGCCGTGACCGTTGAAGATGTTGACGAAAGTTCCGTGATCGCGGGAGATGTTCGCGCTGGCGCTGTGGCGGCGGGATGCATTGATGGTCGCACCACAAGTGTTGGACATGTTGGCGATGGTTCCGTTATGGCGGGAAATGTTCGTCCTGGTGCTGTGACTGCGGGATGTGTTGACGATCGTGCCGCAAACGTTGGACATGTTGACGATTTTTCAGTGACCGCGGGAGATGTTCACGGTGGCGCTATGACTGCAGGATGAGTTGACGACCGTGCTGTGACTGCGGAATATGTTGACGATCGGGCCGCGAGCGTTGGACGTGTTGGTATTGACGACGGTGCTGTGGATCGCGGGAGATGTTCAAGATGACTTCGTGGCCTATGACTACCCAGGATGGTAGAATAATTTGGAAGGTCGGATAACCGAGACTCTACTGTAACAACAAATCTTTGTCAAGTACAGAAAACATAACTTTTAAATTTCTCAAGTCAGTATTGAGCACTTTGACTTTTGATAGATATATATAAAACTTTTGGTAAACTTTGACTTTTGGTAGGTATCCTATCCCAACGTTAACAATGCCACCAGTTTTAGAATCAACATGGACTTAGCCAGACTTGCAAAGTGTGCTGATGCAAATTACTGATTTTTATAGAATGTACCAACTTTAACTGGGTCAAACTGATAGGACATCTTATAGAAAGCTATAGCATCTTTTGTCAGACAAACTATCTTAGTAGCAAACAATTTTGGGATAACATAATTTTAGAATTTAACACTCTCTGTGAGTGGTTCATTGAATCATGTTTACAAATAAAAAATAGTCTACAGCTAATCTATATAGATGGCATGTAATTCAGTATCCAACAGTCAATGATACTTCATAAATATCTGTTTAATTTTCAGCTAAGTTACCATCACTGCTGTCGTCCTCCTCTACAGCTGGCTTCCTTTGCTTCTGTCTCTTGCGAGGTGTCGGTCCATCACTACCATCACTGTCACTCTTGTGGCCTTCAGATGTATCTCCCTGTAATGAAGGGGAGATATTAGGGGTTGGAAACTCAACTAGCAACCATGAAACAACTTAAAACTGATATATCAATCATTGAGATGGGGACGCCACCTAGGTGTGTATTTTAACCCAAATATGAGTGAAGGATGAGTGTAGAATGGGGTGTGTTGATCTGTGTACTGTGTAGCTTTGTTACTGACTATGGTCAGCTGTATTTTTAGTTAGGATAATTAATTGAAAGCCCAATGATCAGTAACAGCTGGGTCCAGTTTAGAACCATCAAAAAGCTACTGAATATTCTCATGATTGATCCAGCAACCTTTTGGTTTCTAAGTGATCACTGTAACCACTAGTTTAGGCCCTAAGTAGCCCAATAATCTATTCAACCAAGAAAGTTGTAAAAAAATAATCAAGAAGATGAGTAAAGATTTGATTTTTAATGGTTTATTTATAATCATGGAAATAGTTTGATTTGATTTGCCTCGTACTTTGCCAAGTTCAGGCAAAATGTCTGGTCTCAAATAAGGATTACTCAGATTCATTAAAATTATGCTTCAGCCCACAGGGACTTTTGGTTTATTGTAGATGTTTAAAATTCATTACAATTTTTTAATAAATAGATATACATTAAAGTTTTAAATAAGCAATTTAAGCATCATGTCACCACATACCTACTCAAATACAAACAAATATATCAGAGCAAGTAAAATAAGCATTTACTATTGACTAAACAAGGTAAAACATATATTATTTGATATTCTAACCTCAGAGTTGCTATTCTCCGAGCTGCTCATCTGCCTCTGAGAAGTCTTCGGGTAGCCAGTGAGACACATGAAGCTGCCTGGAGGCTCTCCCAGCCCACTGTATGATCCATTGCTTGACCACAAGAACTTGATAATGGCCGAGGCCAGGTACAAACTCTGCAAACAAAATTACACAAGATTGTTAATCTTCATAGGTCTTTGTATGAGTTACTATGTGTTTAAACAAGTCATTAAGTTAGGAAACAGTGTTAAGATTATTTACCCAACCCGCCATGTTAAACTTCCCTATCCCAAGCGTCATGTAAACAACTTCTTTACTCACTCGGTGAAGTAATGGAACCCATTTAAATAACATTGAGTGCTCAACTTAAAAAAATATACCTCTATGGAGCCAATGACGTTCAACGCTAGAAATCAGCTGTGCACTTGAATTTTATTGTTATGCTTTAAAGAATTGTCCTAACCTAGCTTTTGTTTGTAAAAGAATGTTACTGTTAGTAGATGAGTGACATGGATAATGAAAAATATTGTACGTAACCCCCTGTATATTGTCGGGTCAGGTAAAATCTTGTACGTTACACGTTACGCAAGAGCATGTTTACATCACTTAGGTGAATTATGCAACTCGCTTCCGCTTGTTGCACAACATTCACCTGCGTGATGTAAAAACGCTCTTACTACACTTGTAAGGTAAATAGCTATTAATTTGACTTGACCTGTTCCGTGTGGTCTCGGGGCTCCAGGCGACACAATAGGTGGTACAGGTGCAGCACAGGCCCAGCCTCTAGGTTCTTGATGAGAGGTGGCAGCAAGTCATGCACCTGCTTGCTGCAGTGCTTCAGCTGTGCCGCCTGCCAGATGATGTCTATGTGCTCGTTAGTGATCTTGCACTCCATCGCCAGGAAACTCAGAATTATGTGGCTCTGTTTGATCACCTGTAAAACAAACAGTCAACCATAGGGACTCATATAAGATCTAAATAGTTTTAACAACTGTATGTTAAAAATCATTAAAATTTAATGCATTTCGTTTTTTGCCAAACGTAATCAAAGCTTTAGGGTTTTCCTTAGAAACCGCCTAAGGTAGGCTTATTTATATTCTAGAGGTATTTAACCTTTTGAATAATATTGTTAAAAAGTAATTCGGAAGACAACACCTAAAAATGAAGCATTTTTTCTTCAGTTTCTAAGTAATCATCACAGATAAAATAAACAATACTAAACAAAGTAAAACACCAAATAGGATTGCAGATCCCATAAGGTCATGAAAAAATTGGTTTACTAATTGTAATAAAAATAATGTCTGCAATATTCTCTAGATAACCTAATTTACTTAGTTATATTGCTTCTTGAATGAAATATCCTAATCATTATCATACTATACATAGTTTCTCCACACTCTATACGGTGGCTGAAATAACAGGTTGAATTAATTCAGTGAACTGAATTAATAGTTGGATATTCTACCTAACAAAACTTAAAGCATCTATCAATAAATATTAAATATAATTATTGACCTCAAATTAAACCTGGACAAGCCACAGTGATGACCTGTTACCTACCTCAACATGCAGATTAGGGCCGAAGATATGAGATATGATGTTGTTGTCTATGAGCCATGCAGCTAGATTCTGCCCCACACTCTCCACCTCCATGATGTTCTCACTGTTGCACATCTCATTGAACATGTTGATGTGAGAGTTGATCTGTGAGATGCCCGCGAGCCGCATCGTCAGTGTTGACGATGTGAAATACTTGAAAGCCAGATTCAGCCCGTCACGATCAAACTGCACTGGAGAGTCCATTGGATCCTTCACTGCACTCCACATGAAATCTGGAATCATATTTTAACCATTGACAATTGATCAAAACAAAAATGGAAAAAAGACACTGTAACAATGTTATGACATTTTTCAGGCCTGAGAAACACTTTTAGGCTATTTAATTAATTTTTTAAATTTACTTAATGACATGCTTCGAAAATGGTAAGGATATAAGCTAAAAAATCAAAGGGCATAGAAATAGTATCTTTTAGTTTAAATTATCTATAATTATCATGAATACATACTTTTCCCGGATGTAGATTTTTAGGGCAAACGATTAATCTTTTTGGTTTAGAAGAAGTATCTAGTGAAAAATAGAGAAAAATGTAGGCTACAAGGCCGCCACAATCAGTCAGAGTGTATTTCCCTTCATGGTTTTAGAGCCATGAACAAATTGTTAGATTATCATTTATTCTGAAATCTTAAGATTGTTTATAATTATTCCCTAATGCACCAATCATTTGATCAACTTACCTGCCATGGCTTTGATGCCTTGAGATCGCAGATCCTTGTCATTCATGTTGCACATATATCTTAGTACTTTGGAGCGTAGAGGAATAAATAATTGCATTATAGATCTGAAGTTCAGCCAAAGTTTTAAATTACAGACAACAGATATTATTGCGTGGGCAACAGGCAACGGGAAGGTTTGGTACTCAAAACATGAAGTCATGGCTTGTACACCACCACTCCTAAAACAAAACAATTAATTGTAATCTGTAGGTTTAGCAAAAGCACATTAAATTTGAAGTTAATGGCAGTCTGGAAGATTTTAAATTCAAATTGGTAAAACTGTATATTTATCTAAATAACAATATATTTGAGTGTAGACAAACCATTTTGTGGTATGTTTGTTTGTAAGAATAGAATGTATATACTGGCAATTATTGTGTTAAATAAATTGTTTGATTGATTTAAAAAAGAGGAAAAAGTACCCCTTTACAAAGCTAGCTTTTAGTCTAACTCTTGCCTAATAACCTGATAAACTAGCACTCAATACCTAACTCTAACTGGACTTGATTTCCAGGACGATTGTGTGTGATTCGTGTATATGTGTGAAAATTTGTGTATTAATTGAATTTTTATGACCAGTCCTGGGTACCACAAGTCAATAAGGTGAGTGTAGGCCACAAAATTTTCACAAATGAATAATACCTCGCCTAAAAACAAGTAGGTAGTTTTAAAAACATAACCCTAATTATTACCGAATAACCCGATAAAAATCAGGTGGTGTCGGTAATATGTCATTTTACCAAGTAAAAACCACTAAATTAATATAGATGAAATGCATATATTGAAATAAGTAGGAGGTGGTTTACATAACAACAATTTTACCTGCAAAATAAGCAAACATTCCGTAAGAGATGTATTGGTATTTCCAAATCATGAACGTCACAAAAGTTGCTCAGCACTGTAGCTTCTTGTTGAGTCAGTTCTTCCATTTTGGTCTGTAAGCTTTGTTTGTAAGCTGCATATAGTGGAAAGTTGAGAAGAAACACTTTTGAGAGAAAATGTAACAGCTTTTCCATGTCTTGGATCGTCCAGACATCCTTCTCTCCTGTTGGACAGACAAAGCATTTTACAACGATGAAATATAATAATTAATAGTTTTAAATGAAAATAGTATATCTGTAACTTAAAATTGTGTTCTGATCTCTTTAGAGATATCGTTAAGATCAATTATGACAAAATATAACATCAGTAGGTACTAGGCTGAAACACAAAAATTTTGTTTGAATACTGATTTGCTGTAGTTGTGTTATCCTTGGCTGCAGCCAGAAGAAGAAATGACCAATGTGCTGAATCAATGAATAAAAGAACACTTTTAAATTATGTTTTAACTGAAACAAAAGTCACAGTAGGTATAATATTATGCACTATGATCTAGTGTTTTTGGATGTAGTTTTACAAGAAGTTAAGGGGATTCGCCACTGAAAAGGGTGATTTTTTTATTTAATGAGGAAAGTCGTCAATCTATTTTTTTTCTAGTAGGGTATAGTTTAACAAAAAATAGAAAAATTTTGGTTTACTTCTAAATATAAATTATAGGTGGTAAAAAAATAAAATAGAGGGTTTTCAGTCAATTTGTAAGGGTTTTTAAAAATCGATATTCTGAAGAGAGTTCTTGATGGATTTTGATAAATTTTGTGTTTTTTTAAAGACAGTTATATAAACTTAATATTTAGGTAGATTCTTAATAATATCTCAGATACTTTTTTTGCTGTGACACATTAAATAAAATTGTTCTTAAAAAAAATAATTGATTAAAAAAAATAATTATTTTTTACTCCCTAATCAACTTAGATACCTAATTCTACATAAATATTTTCCTAATATTGTCTAGAATAAGTACTAAAAATTTCAACAATATACCTTTAGTGGCTCTCAAGATATATCGCATTTTGTCTTGAAAAACGTGAAATTTCAATGTTGCGGAAAACCGCGTTTGAATTAGGTGTCCTATGATCTTGTAGCTATCGTAAAGAGCGAAACCCGTTGTTTATAACATATAATAACATTCAGACATGGATTATATAATACTGTTTGGATGTAATAGGGTCCAATGTACAAAGAAATGAAAAAACATTTTTGTATTAGCCTCTGCCAAATTAGGCAGCTAGGATAACAGATGTATCTGACCCAAGTTTGTATGAAGAGCTGGTGTCAAAAAAATCAGCCGTATACGGCACCAAGGAAACCCCTTCTTTGACCGTGGAACAAACCATGCCGCTCATTAGAACAATAACCTTTAAGTGTGAATAAATCCTGACCTTCTATCACTAGTTGCTCGGCCGCATTAACCACTGGAGGTTTATATAGCTCCTCCAAAGCCGGGCCAACATGGCATGCTTGGACAATACCCCCCTCCCCCCAGTGTTAATGCTGCACATTTAGTGATCATAGAAAACACAGTTCAGATTTACTGCAAGGAAGTGTAAGCTGAAGTTGTAAGCCACATAGACTCTGGACTGTCTTAAATTTGCTGAAATATTAATAACTTTGTACCTTCATGAACAGCTCCTGTTTCCAGAGGGTTGTTATCTTTACTTTCTTCTTTATCAATTCCTGTTGTAGGCTCTTTTTCTTCAGTAACATCAATGATCTTTACTTCATTCTTGTTCTCTTTGTTAGTTTTGTGCGAGTCATCATTTGGTGGAGAAATGCATTCAATCACATCCTTGCCTCTATAAGCTTTCAATTGCTTAACAACTAATAGTATTATGCTTTGTGTTATTAAGTGGAATTTCTCATAATTTTTAGGATCTCTGAAGCAGCAAAAACATTGCCTGAAAACATCACAGTAAAATTCAATAAGTTTTAATAAAACCAATAGTTGAACAACAAACCTATCACGGATTTTAGAGAAATTGAATATTTCAGTATCTTCTTGATCAGCATTTTACGTGTTATTAAATTTAATCAATTTTATCAATTTAAAAAAAAAAGTAAGTGGTGATTGTAATTGGAGTGTCCAATCAAAATCGAGTAAAGTAATACATGCACGCTTGAAAATAAGTTGGCGACACTTTAAGATACTACGACTGCGATCAGATGGTGCAGTGTTTCCCATTTCACTCAACCTTACCTTATTTAACCTAACCTAAAAAGTGTTGTTTAGTGTTTGAAAGATGTGTAACAAGAGTGCAAAGTGCCTTTTCTGCACTCGAGAAACTTCCCACACTTGCCTGCGGCTTGTGCAGCAAAGTGCCACTTCGCACACTAGTTATACAAATTACTATTCTGTCAACTCAAACAAAATTATGTTCTAGTATGTACAATGATAAAAAAAACATTCTCTGACTAAGTAAGCCTGTGCAATTTCCTTACCTCTGAATCCATGTTTGTATGAATGTAAAAACTTGTTCAATTTCCCGTTTTTTAAGAAGAGGTAGGTCACTCCCATCGAGTTTATGGACTTTGTCCCCATCTGAAACTATGATTTAAGACATACAGTTTTAAAACCTTTAAAAAAATCAATAACTTGCATATTATGATTTAGCTCAATTAGTCCAGGATCTGAAGCGGGTTGAGTATGCATGACACAATTTTATTTCTGATTGTTGTTAAAGGCACTATGGTGATCATGAAAATGCATGTTGTCGTCACCCAGCGTGGTCGACATCCCCGAGGGGAGGGGAGGAATATGGCGCCGTTCACTATAACGCTTATAACTCAAGAACCATTTTAGATTATGAAATAAATGTCAGATTTACTCATAAAATTATGACCTTAAAAAAAGGTTATTAGCCTATGTTTAAATCTATATCTAGGTTGGTTTTTTTGTAATACTTTAACATATTATACGGTACTCAAATAATACTGAAGCTAATATCTTAAATTAACGTGTGTTTTAAAAGTCCCGGAACGGCTTAATATTTTTTTAACCAATATAGATAGGTTAGCATATTTTTGTATCTAGATACGTATAATTAAAACCAACTTTTTTAAGCAATTGTCGATTTTCTTATCCTCCAGGGGGACAGTCCACAAGGAGTAAGAATAAAATCTTTAATGTAAGCATAAATTGATATGCCAATCACATTAAACGTCTTTACTAGTCAAATACAATGCCGCAAATTTGAACACAAACGGACAACCAAGCCAAAAATGACAGCTATTCTAAATTCATTGAAACCACATCGCTATAAGCTAGCTCCTCAGGGAGGCGCCCGCTAGAAGTCGGAAGAAAATCATAATTAAAGGTCTTAATTAGTAGTATAGAATGCCACAAATTTGAGCTCAAAATAACAACTGAGTAAAAAATAGCAGCCCCCATTCAAAGATTCAAAATGGAAGATTCAAAATATACTTAGTCTATAAGGGCTGCCATTTTTGACTCGGTTGATCGTTTGAGTTCAAATTTACGTAAAAGATTTTCTTCTTGTGGGCTGTCCCCTTGGAGGAGAGGAAAATTAAAAATTGTTTAAAAAGGCCGGTTTTTATTATAAATATCTAGATAGGCTACACAATTGTACCACCGTATCTATGTTGGTTAAAAAAAAATATTAAGCCGTTCTGGGGCTTTTTTAACTGTGTATTGAAGATTCTAGATTAGGTATAAAATAATATATTATTACTAAATAAATAACCAAATAATGGTAGGCCTACCACAGATTTTAATATAATAACCTTTTTTGAAGGTTATTGAAGCATTTATTTCAATCTTCTATCTAAAATGGTTCTCGAGTGATATCAGTTTTAGTAAACGGCAACTCCCGCCATATTCCCCCACCCCCTGGGGATGTCCACCACGCTGGGGGGCGACAACATGCGTTTTCATGATCACTATAGTGTCTATAACAACAATCAGAAATAAAATTGTGTCAGGCTTTCCATGCATACTAAACCCCCTTCAGATCCTGGACTAAATACAGTCATTTAAATTTAAAACTTAATACACTTCGAAACTGGGTAGGCTAGTGCTACAGTAGGCCTAATGAAATTTACACTAGGCTATTTTTTTTTTTTAACTCTGTTCTACAATTTGGATTTGTAGCAGAGCTATTTAAAAGTATGAACACTGCAGAGTTGTGCGCAGATAACTGGGATGGTAGGCTAGCTTACTTGAATACTAGATGAGTAACTGGCTGGAATGAGGGGGCACAAAAATATGCTATGCGCTTACTCCCTTGGTTGGTTATAGTTCAATATGGAAGGACCCGATGAAAATGTTGTTGCTGGAAAGTGCAGCTCTTAACACGTTCGCTGCTGAAAACCTTTAAACAGGCACTCGCCAATGGCAAAGTTAACTGGGGGGTTCCAGACTTTTGCCTAGCCCTGTATAGGCTGCCTTCCTAGCAAGTAGAACTTTCACTCGCCCAAAACCACCATTAGGTACATTGGAAACCACTCAAAAACCTTAAATTAATAGTCTTTGATTTTGTTACTCGGGCACTAAGTTACAACTTTTTCCATTAAAAAGTGATTGCATTCCTAAGATTCAGCGTGACAAAAAATGTAAAGAATTGGACCCAAACACCAAATTTTTTATCAGTGAAACCATCGCTTTGGTATTTTACTTCTACCAATTATCTAATTCTTTAATTCTTTTAGCTAATTATCAGGATAGTACTGCGGAGGTACTTTCCTGTTAAAGGGAACATTTAATATTATCGATAATTTTTTTTTTATACATCGATATTTTTGTTTTCCTTTGCGATCCATTAGGAATTGACAACTGATCTTGTTTAGGCTCAAATATAGTCTATTACATGGATTAAGAAATGAAACTGTTCTATACTAAGCTAACCTAACATAACCAACCAAACTTGCTGTGGGCCTGCCATTTAAAAATTCCGTTTGATAACAGAAAAGGGAAGTTAAACGGAATTTTTAAATGTTACAGCAAGTTTGATTAGTTATGTTAGGTTAGTTTAGAACAGTTTTTCAATATTTTTTAAAATTATTGTTTGTTAATCGTACCTACTGAACATTATTTATTCATCGTTACAGTTGTCAGCTGATATGTTTCAATTCGTTAATATCGATATATCGAGAGAAAAATTCATCGATAATAATGAATTTTCCCTTTAACAGGAAAGTACCTACCTAATTGTTTTAGCGAATTTCCCTATAGGGAAGTAGCTATTACCGTAGGTGGCACGGTAAGACCTAGACCCGGGACCAATTTACTTTTTCATTTTGATGTCCCCAGAGTCCAAAAACGCCATTCGTTCAAATTTTTATATATGAATATATATATATATATATATATATATATATATATATATATATATATATATATATATATATATACGTCCGTGACATATAAAAACTTGATTAATTTTTGTCCGATTTTGATGAAATTTGGTTTAAAGGTGTAAAGCGGGATAAACTTGAATGAGTTCGCGAACCAGCACGATCGGACCATGGGAACGGGGCTTTAGGGGGGGTTTTATGGGGTAAAAATTGGTTTTTCTCACTTTTGACCCTCAAAACACAAAATTTCCCAATTTCTCTTTAGACCTTTTTAAAGAGCTTAAAAAACAAATAATTTAGTATATAAAAGTATTTTTGTTTGATTATTAGTAACGAAGAAAATTAAAAAAAATTTAAATTTAAAATTCCCATGTTATTCTTATGGAGAATATTGTCAAATGTTGTAACAAACTTGGCAAATTTATTTATTTTGTACTAAGCTATCAATATCTTACTCAAAAACAAACTTTATTTGTTTCCTTGTAGCAGCAAACCTAGGTACTCGTTACACCTAATGTTATTAAAATATATTTAACTGAAAATCAATTCAGACAAATGGAAATTCGCTTAGTCGGCAGGGTTTGCTGCGGCGGGGGTATTTCATAATTTCCACATGACTTAGGCCCACATTAATTTAGGCTAGCTACTCCAACAATGAAAACATCAAATAAGTTAGGGTGGGTTTTGAGCTATGAAAGTAAGCTATCTTCGTCTACAAGTAACATAGGCCCAAGGCTTATAAAAGAAGGTGTGTGCATGTGCATCCCCTCCCCCTCCAATCAGCCAAACTGTGACGTAATGTGCGAGGCGCTACAGCTGAGAGATATGTTTACGCAGGAAACTCTTGTCCACCGACGATTCCTCACAAATAATCCAGTGGTGGGAGTATATAAGGAGGGCCTTTCCACCACTCACCATGTGACATCCATTGAAAAACGTTCATAGCTAAGCCATATTAAAAAAGTCTGTCATAGTATCGAATAAAATTAATTCTATAAGTATTGGTGATCTCCGAAAAGCCAGACATAATCTTTTTTAATAACTAGACCTAATATAGGTAGGCTACCATTATTATTTATGTTACACTGTGTGGTGTGGTGTATATAACAGAAAATATGTGGTGTTTAAGCTATAACAGAAGAATCCCATTGTTAAATGACATCTAGAAGTTAGTTCTTAATTTTACGTTTTCAGTTAGTAAAATACTTCATTCTTTAAAGGAAGTTAGGCCTAAATTATAAAATTATTAGGCCTAACCTCTTTAAAAAATAATAACATATTAACTGCTAAGAAAGGGAAGTAAAACCATGCAAACACAACGCACAGTAGGCTTAACATTTGTTGAGGCAGCTCAAGAATCTGCTTCTTAAATCTTACTAATATTATAAATATGAAAGTTGGTATGTTTGTTTATTTGTTTGAAGTTTAATCACGCACTGGCCGGATTGAGCTGAAATTTGGTAAGATGATAGCTTAAGTTTCCGATTAACATATAGACATACCGGTACTCTTATCTCAAAGATCCTTTCAGGCTCTGCCCCAGTGGCTCTGGAGATTCCCATGTTAACCTAATCAGGAGTACGGTATTCATATTTAAAATGAATTAAAGAATTTTACCAGCTGTTTCAAATACACAAGTTGGTTCTATGATATTCGATAGCATTAAAAAGTTAGACTATAGGGTTTACCAATAGGGTGCAGCACCCTATTATTTTTTTTATTTATATGACAACAGCTAATGTGAACCAAGCAGCAACAAAAAGCTGTGGTACACAATGGGAACTGACAAAATAGGATTGTTTACAGTTAGTCTTATGTTTTTTATCTATAAATAATTTGTAATAACTTAGGTATTGTGCGAATATTTGGTCATTTACTTTTTTCTGTTGTTTAGATGCAGTGGTAGAACATTATTATGACTATGGTAGTTATGCGTTGTACTATAGCATAGGTACTGTATATTAAAAGAACCAAATTTTCTCAAACCGTGTCCTCCCCCATTGCAATACAAAACGCGAGTATATAACTGCAATACACATTTTATACCCCAACCCCGTACGAAGAACGAGTACCTACTCTGCTAACTTATTACACAATATAACTTGAAGTTTGTATCTCAAAGTGTCCTGTAAGGTTAAACGTGCACCTCACTATTCAACGAACAGAATGGATTGTTTTAGGTTGTTATGTGATCTTTTGTATTGATTTCTCCCAGAAAAAGTATCTATTCACAGACTGATATTATGGACGCAACGACTGATATATATATGGCGTTTAATAAATACATGTAGGTAGACGTGTTTTGGACACACCCTACATTTGGACACTGCCACACGTGCCATTCTATATGTTGGTTTAGTGCTTGGGTTTAGTGTACATATGTCATTAAAGTGTTATAAAATCTCTACTAAGTCATAATTAGTAGTCAGTGATGTTTTGCGCTGGTTTTGTTAAATACATTTCATGTTGTAGGCACCTATACAATCTTGTCAATTTATTTGTATCTATTTATTTTCTTCCAAGAGCTGCAAAAAGGTAGGCCTATTAAAACTACTTGAATATGGTTACGGTACCTACCTAAAAAAATATAGCTTATTTATTTATTTATTTATTTATACGGTAAACACCATTTTTACAGTCAATGATACATGAGATTCGTAGCTTACATAATGATACATAGCTTAGAGTATTGCCTGTTAGGCAGCCATAGTTGCAGTATTTACTGCTTTACCTACTGTTTTTTGGTTAACTTAAAAGGTACTTACTACTTATCAAAATGTCCTAGACTACTGCCTTTTAGCCTAATGTAGCCTAGCCATTGTATAAGACTATATTCAATACTGAATCACAACACTAAGTTAAGTTATATTGGATATATAAGTACAGTAGAACCTCTTTAATCCGAACCCCCGTAATCCGAACGTCCACTAATCCGAACCCCTCATTGATGTACTCTATAGACAGAACAGTAGTTCTTCATTGTATTTATTGGTATAGACACCGTAATTGTTTCTACTGTAATGTACCGTACAGTTTATTCCCTATGTTTACTACTGTATTAAATAAACACTGTGTTTTACTTTATAAAGCATTTTTCACTTTTCCCTAGCAATTGTTATGTAAAAACAACAATATGTTCTGTAATCCGAACAATTCAATAATCCTGGTGGACTAAATTCTTTTATTCTCTATAAATATGAATACTCATGTAACGTTAACATGGGGAACTACAGAGCCACTGGGGTGGAGCTCGAAATGATTTTTGAGATAAGAATATATGCTTATATGTTAATCGGGAATGTAAGCTATCATTATGCCAAATTTCAGCCCAATCCGTCCAGTAGTTAATGCGTGATTGAACTTCAAACAAACAAACAGACAAACTTTCACATTTATAATATTAGTAAGATAACTTAAGTTAACACTAACAGTGTTACCATTCAATGCTAATTTGTAACAAATTTCATGCGAGTCTTGAGGGAATTACAAGAAAACATATGATTTGGTAAAATAAAACACATTTCAGCTCGTCCGTGATAACTATTTATGTGACGTAGATGCGCGAACTGGACAAATTTACGCCTTGCTATGCACACACCTTCTTTTATACACCTTGTCAGCCTACCAACTTTACAAGGAAAGCCTAAACCCTCTTAGGCTAGGCCTAATTTCACTTTCCTACTAAGTTAGCTTCTTGGGCGGGTACAGTTTCTTAACTGGGCTATGCTAATATTGATTGAAACTATCGAATTGAAAATATTGATTAATAATCAATATTTTGAAATATTTTTATTATAAAATAAAACTATCATAACCTAACCTAACCAACCAAACTTGCTGATGGTGAAAAAATCGCATGAAGGTTTACTAATCGAATCGATATTAGTTTCAATCGATATTAGCATAGCCCAGTTCAGAAACTGTACCCATAGCATAGCCAGGCAGTAGGGCCTACCATTTAGGCTAAAACTAGGCTAACTTAGGCCTACTTAATTACCTTTATCTAGGCCTATTTAACTTAGTTTTGATAGCTTAAATAAATTTTAAGGGAACCTAGCTTGCTCAATAAAGCCTAATTTATGTGAATATAATGGGATAGTGAATAAAAAAAATAGTGTAGGCCTTTAAACAGATTAATGTAACTCAAGTAGGACTGTACAAATAGCCAGGCCCTAGCTTAAGTAAGTTATATTAACTTAGGCTACCCTACTTTTATAAAATGAATTTTTTTACTTACAGTTATTCAGGAGCTCAGAAAAATCAGCACATATATCACACATGACGTTATCTTAATAGTGATTAAGATACCGGCATTTAACTTATTCACATAAAAACTCGAAAAGCCATTTAAGTTAAGCTAGCCTAACATTGTATTAAAGCCTTTTCTTCAATCAAAACTAAACATCACTTAAAATTCAAACACAAACTTAGAAAATTATCTTCAAAATTGATAATGTGAATCCAATCATAAACAATCACACAATAGAAGATCGGTTTTAATCTGCGTTGACCAACTTGACAAGTATAACCAGACCAAATCTATACAAAACATTGCCTGCCATTACTTTACTTGCACTGCAATGCAATTGCATTATTATTGCATATTTTGTTATATAGATGGCATTAGTGCAGCTCAAATCAGCTACGGGCTGTTTCGTTTCTACTGCTGGCAGTGGAGCAGCAAGCAGACTATAACCACAAAGAGGCAAAAGGTATCCATTGATTATTACTTACATGTGTATGCCCATTGATTATATAAGCTTTGAAGTGATCCACAATCACTTTCCTAATAAAAGCTAAGAACTACTGTACATGGTACTTCTCATTATGGAAGAAAAATACATGGGTACTACTATTTATTCATAATTAATTATGAATATAGTCTCACGATCTCATACATGCAAATAAGTTAATAGTATAACCCCATACTTCAACTCGTGTATGCTTACAAATTATAGTTATCAGTGAATAATGTAATCAACATATTTTTTTAGGTACCCATTGAAAGTTGTATGCTGGATTATTGACAGTGTAAATAAAAAAGTTGGCAGACAGCGAGAACAGTGTGTTTAGTTTATCCGGGACGGAACCGCGCCGAAGTTGGACAGCGACACACGCGGACAACGATAACCTTGGACAGATCAAGGCCCCACTAGAAAAAACTGTGAACTTTGAATATATAGTCCATTGGTGGTAGAGTGATATTTCTTGACGCTTAACCTAATCAACAATCAGAAAATGTATAATAATCATTGGGTATAACATAGTATTTAACATCAAGACTCATGGTAAACAGCAAACACACACACAAATACAAATTGGTAAAACAGGTTTCCTAACGCGTTCAGGATTGCGTCGTGGTGGACTTTGACAGGTGTTATTACTACTATCACTACTACGCACAGCTGATTTTACGCACGCGGATACGGGCGTAGTACTATGGCCGGAGGAAGGGGGGGAGTGACTTCCTGGCTGGTGGTGTAGATCGCCGCGCTTGTGAAGCGGGGAGTGACCTCCTACCATTTGCTGGGGTGGTTGCCATGCCAACCGGCTTGCTGACTACGTCCTTGGCGCACGATTTTTATTTCTAGACCACCAAGGCCGATGGCTTCAAACCGTTTCATTGCGCTAATGGTGTTCCCTCAGCCAATAGAATGCTCTCATTTTGTTCTTATTAAAATAACTGCAGCTGAAATAAAAATTGTGCGTCCTTGGCAGGGGAAGAAGTACAATGCCTCTGGTATTGCGGCGTTGCCAACTCTGGGTCTGAGCTAGCGGATGTAGGGGTTGCCACGTTTCTATGTACAATATTTTCAGCAAAATCCGGCGTATCTCTGTGCAGCGGACTGTTATTTAAACCAATCAGCTGATCTATGTGACGTTAGTAACAATGCCTGAACTTAACTAACTCTATTTCATAAATAACAGGACTGATTTGCTTGTGTACAGTATCCTGTAGCCATTTGTTGTTGGACCTGTAATCTCTCACCAAAACACTTTGACCTGGATAAACTATCCTAGTACTCTTTGACTTAAAACTATTTTAACATTCTTCTTGTTTCTTTTCTAGGCGTCTTTTCAGTTTGTCCCAGATTTTAGTCAGCATATCATGAGTTACAGACGACACAGAATTCCTGAATTTCTCCCGCAAGTGTGTGTAAATTATGAACCCGGGAAGACTAGACAATGTCCTTGACAAAAACCCACAACAAGAAACCCATGGGGGTTACATGGTGGGAACGAGGTGGCCATTTGGTCGGGCCATCACGCCCGATCCAGCGACCGGGAAAGTAAAGATTTAAAAAATCCCTCACGGATATGATTTAGCCCAATGAGGTGGAGTGCCTTCTTGCTGGAAAATTATCATAAGTTGCTGTTCTTATAATTAAGATACTACATACAACCCCAACAAAACCAAGTAAACAAACCAATTTACATTTTTTTCGGCAAAGAAAAATTATTCAATGATTCCATCATGCATTACACCGCACCAAAGATTTAGTTTAGGACTGGCCCTTTAATTTTCAATCACCCAATCTGGGATTTTAACCCCCCCCCCCCCAAATTCTACAATTATTGTGTCTGATAACCTTCCCACTTAAATGGATAGTCGTTGAACTGCTATAGGGGATTGGATTTCGTGAAAAAACAACACAAACCGTGATTTCTCTTGTAAACTCACCATTTCTGTTTTGTTATTATATTGAATCATGATTGTATTGTTGTTAATCAGCTGTGTTTAGGCATTACCAATTTTATTAAACAAAACTTGATTAATCCCTTCAAAACAAGGCATACAAGTTAAGTGTGGCTCTAAAGCTCTCCGGACGCCAGCGTCCTAGTATAATCCTAGCCTAATGGTTTTCGTACAGCAAAGCTATTAAATCAGACCAAGGCTTTGTGGACACCCGATATTTCGATACGAATCGTAGGCCTACTAACTTTGTCCATCGTGTCACTCACAGTTAGTTGTTGTCACTCACTTTGGTGTACTATGGGTGTATTATGGGTGTACGCGAAACGAACGCAAAAATAATAACAATACAACAATGAATGTTTCAATAATAACAATGAATTTTTCGATTATTTATAACCGAATGCATTTTAATCGATTTATGACGTCCTCGAATCAAAACTATGATCAACAATTATCTTTTCCTACAGTTATCTAACAATGTACATGTTCTCTCATTGATTTGAGAAAGCAAAGTGGCCAATTCGCTCATCAGTGAGACAAGAGACATCAGTGTTAACATTGTCTCACTCTAATTACTTTGTCTCACTCCAGATTTGCAACGTGAAGGCACGGAATACTGAGCGCGTAAAATGCAGGCAACGTCGTATGCGCGCGAAATACGTTGGCAGCACTGGCTGTAAATCAGCTAGTGAGCTGTTGTACTGTTGTATTTGTCACTTCACATTGAAGGTTATATTAAAAGTTCACTTCTGTGTAAAAATAGGTTATGTTTCTTCACCAATTTATTTGTTTTATGGTAACTGTAGGAAAAGTATAATGTGCAACTCAACTCGAGTTCCAGGGCCGATTTACCGAATAGGCACGGTAGGCACGTGCCTAGGGCGCGAGGCAATTGGTTTTTTTTTGGGGGCGCCAACAATTTGGTAAATAAAAAAATTGGTGTTTGCATGCGATCACGGTAAACTTCTGATAATCCCTCGCGGCCGTGTAGACATCGTAATAGTCTCCCGCGTTTGCGGCAAGATTCTTACTATTTTCCGTGGTCGGGTCGTTTAGACATAATTATCGTCTTCCATGATCGAGGCAATACATAAGCATATCCAGTGGTCGTGAGGAAATTATCATCGTCTACCGTGAATGAAGGAAAATTCTGATCTTCTTCCCGCGGTTGTGTGGACATTATCCTCGTCTTGCGCGATCGCGGTCAAATTCTGACCACCCTTCGCGGCCGTGAAGTCATCAGTATATCGTCCCCTGCGGTCTTGTGGACAAAGTAATCGCCTCCCGCAATTGTGGCAAAATGGTAATTATCTCCCTCGGTCTTGTGGGGATCATCATCCTCTTCCGCAAATTAGGCAAAGTTCCGACCTTTTCCCGCGACCGTTTGGCCATTATCATCGTTTTCCGAATCGCGGCAATATCTGATCACCCCTCACGGCCGTGTATAAATCATTATCGTATCTCCCGCGGTCCTGTAAACATCGTAATCGTCTCCCGTAGTCGTGAAGACATTGTAATCGTCTCCCGCGATTGCGGAAAAATGGTAATCATTGTCTTCCACGAATGAGGCAAAATTTTTCCCACGGTCATGTGGACATTATCATCGTCTTGCGCGATCGTGGCATAATTCTGATCATCCCTCACGGCCGTGTAAAAATCATTATTGTATCTCCCGCAGTCCTGTAGACATCGTAACAGTCTCCCGTGGTCGTGAATACATGGAAATCATCTCCCGCGATTGCGGAAAAATGTTAATCATGTCCCGCAGTTGTGTGGAGATCATCATCGTCTTCTGCAATCGCGGCAAAATTCTTGCTGTTTCCCGCGGTCGTATGGACATTATCATTGTCTTCCGTGATCGTGGTAATATTCTGATCATCCCTCGCGGCCGTGTGTAGACAAATTATCGTCTCCCGCGGTCACAGAAACATCACTGATGTTGTCATGTGCGATCACGATACATTGAAAACTCTAGGCAGAAATACAAAATTCAGACATAATTCCCGGTTCAAAAAACTCCCGCATGATTCCCGGATGTCCCGGTTGGTGGACACCCTGTTATATATATTGCAAAGGGGCGCTACTGTTAGTTGTGCCTAGGTCGCTGACAGGATCAAAAACGGGCCTGTCGAGTTCAAAGTACAATTGCCTCACTCGAGAAACCATTCCTAAGGATTTCTCTCGAGTGAGTCAATTGCTCACTTTTCTCACTAGTTGCACAAATAACTATTTCAGGACTAGTACGGTATAATCATCAAAACATCTGAATTATCCAAAGACTGAAAGAACTTTTAAATCTCAACGCATGTGTCAAAAACTGTTGATTTTAAAGCAGTGTGACAAAAAATATAAACTTTTGCAGAATCTCAACGCTGTATAAACCGTTTTGGAGTTAAGCATATTTTTGTAACAAACACATACAGACAGTCAGCCGCTATAAACGGAACGAGATCGAACGTGGGTACTTAATTCATACACATTTGTGCCTATTTCGACCCAAGAAATCCCTTCGAAAAATTATGTCCCCTCCTTATTTTCTTTAACACCTATATATAAAACTTTATTTACTACAGTGTCAATACATATTTTATTACTGTAGTAGTAAAGCTATTTTTAAATCACTAAGAGCGCTGTATTGAGAAGCACATATGTCCTGGTAAACTAGGAAGTTCTAAAATTCTTTGTCTACCACGGCTTGTAGCTATAAACTATTGTTGGGGTACAATATAAGATAGTTATCTCAGACACAATGACCAATTACATTGCGTCCATCGTCAGCACGACTCCTGAGCAGCGGAAACATATTGTCGCTGCTGTGGTTCGTCTAACACAATGCTGAAAGTGAAAACATCCATCTCATATAAATATGTAGAAAACACTATGGCCCCGGAGTTGTAGTTCAGTGTTCTATGTTCTAACTTAGGAACCACACCCAAGGTACGTTAGCTGGTTTAATTACCTGTATTAGTTTCGTGAAATTGTTATTTATTTAATCATTAGGAATTAAATTTTGTTATGTGTTAGGAATTGTAAAAATATCATTTTCTAAGCTTATTGTTAAAACAATTGCATCCTAGGAAGTGAACCGAGAGTGTATTGTTGATAAGGGTTACTTACGAAGTCGCAGGACAGTTTGTTCTGTGAAAATAAAATATATTCCAAAACAGAATAACTTGCAGACAGAGTGTACGTTTTCCCCCCTATAATGCTAGGCACGAGCCTGGGATTGTTTTTCACATTACTTCAGGCTAGACCTAGGGATTGCGGCATTATAACTTAGATCAAATCCATAGGCGATTTGGTGGGATTTGAACCCGGGACCCCAGGAACCGAAGTACCGTGCTCTAACCACTACACCAGCTCGCTCCCCTTTAATTTGTACTTGCACGTACTTGCTATAGCAATTAATAATCTACTCATTTCTAGTGTTTGTCTTAAGTTTATATATATGTTCCATCCTGTAACCTCTTCAAATGTTTATTTTTAAGATCTTGTTGGATTTGACAGAATGCAATGTTAATTTATGTTTTACCATTGACTATTGGATAGAAGTTGTATTAATAGGCAAAGGTATTACATAAAACATAAGATTTGTTAAATTTAACCTGCTTTAAAATATTAATGCTGGAAATTTTTAGCCTAGGGTAAATAATAATCATAAAATTGTTTAGATCTTTAATAGCCAAAGGATCTATTCAAAGAACGTAGTGAAGGACTTAAATAGAAGATTTAAGAAACCATATCAAACGCAAGATTGTTCTCTATTTCTTAAATAAAACTGATTAAAGGATTAGTCCGTGGCGTTGGAAGATGTACTTAAATGTGGAAGCACAATTTATTATAAAATTTTCAAATCATGATTTTTATTTAAAATGCTTTCTCTAGAATAATAACAGTAATTTGAATATGATCTTTAAAATTAATGTTATTAAAAAACATGTTCAAAAATAGTAGTTATGTGAACCTCAATAATAAACTAAACTTTTAACTAGAGTTCAAACCAACAAACCCTTCCTAACTATATTGTCAATTATATAGCCTACACGCGATGCACTTTGCAGATCCTAGGGAAGTTCAGTCGAGATCAATAACATCTAGATGGATAATACTTAAACCAGCCATGAATATATAGACATCAATAGAATCTATATATTAATAAGCAAGCAGTTTTCTTTTCACAGTCATAACACGATAACGGCTTGACGGATTTTAACGTTTGATGTATCAAATTAAAGGTATTTTCATGTAGATGTGCAAATACGTCTCAGAATATATAGAAACGGCATCACTTAAGTACAGTTAAGGGCTAAAGTTTGGGAATGGCGCTATCTGTTGACATTATATCAAACTCAATTCCCTTTGTTTACAACTAACATATGGACGTAGTTTGAAATAATTTTTAAGGTTAACCACAGACTGCAGGACTTATTACTTCCAGAGCAAAGCTGGAATTTATATTTGTATTCAAACGTGTATTAATTATGTCTGATTCATAAATTAATAGTTTCCTAGCAAAACTTGAAAACAAATTGTTTGTAATAGTTTAACTTATTTACCTAACATCGCATTTTCCAAAATCGTGTTGTTTTGGTTTCAGTTAGCTGTGATGAAATGAATGTTTGAAAGTGATTATTTACAGTGCAGTTACCCATTACATTACCATATCGTGTAATTTACACTGTATATCAAAATTCCGTTGTAGTGTTTTATGTTGTTTGGTTTAACTTTCGTATTTTATCTAAATTTAAGATTAAATGCCACCTGTAAGACGAAGAACTGTGAGTGGCTGGAGGAAATGCGAACGTGACCACTTGCATCAACCTCCCAATACGTTAAATTGTTTAAATTGTGGTTGCTTCCATTTTAAGCACACACAAACTGGCCGAGACAGTAAACTTAATTGGTACTCTTTGTTACCACAAATGAGAGAACCCTTTACCTCATATGCGGAATTCATCATACTTTTATGAACTTAATAGAAACTCCCAATTTGAGAACAAGGCTGTGAGGCTAGATCTAGACATTATTGGGACGAAATTCGTCAATTAAATTCCGCCTTTGCCATGGTCAGCTCTGAAGCTCATTTATATGAGAGGATCACCCAGGGGATCTACAATTTCAAGATCCATGACACGTTTTACCTCCGAGTAGGTAATCTAATTCCTTAAGAAGGTCATCCTGAACACGCACAGGTGTATAAGTACGACGTTGGCACCCAACAACGCATGAAACCCAATTGAAAGAAGGAATGGAATGAAAAATGTGCGGGAAATAGGGCCACATTGCCTACCCATTTGCCCAATCTTTTAAAACTTTGGCAGAAATGTGTAGGGACGAGAGCTCCGAGGAGTCAAGTGAGATTCTTATGTACATAATAAGAGACAAAAGAAGTGACTTTCCTAGCCACAATAATGCTATACCTGGATAGATGTCGCAGCAATTTTAAAGGCTGAAAACAGTGCACCTCCTGGCCAAATAAATCTTAGTTTCTTTTTTCAAAAAATAGTGTTAAACGCGAATCCGTTCTAGATCGGTCGTTGGATCCACTTGCATACCTTCTAATATTCCCAACCGGAGACTTTGGTTAGACCCCCTAATTTAAATACGCCTAAAACAGAACCTTACCGTAGTAATAATTTAACAATGCTATAGTACGTGTCAAACTGGTTGGCGTTAAAAGAGGGATTTAGGTCTGGACATATCTACATTAACAAATCTGAACAGGTCTACATTAGGTCTTAAAAACTCACTTTACAGTGTGTGGTTGACATCTACGTTCTCATAGAGGGCACCCGCCTACTGCACATAGAGATAACCAAAGCAGTGTGAGAGCGGATCTATATTTAAATATTGTAGGCTACTTTTATAATTTTTTAAAACATAATATTTTTCATATTTCTTTAATCAGTCATAGACTTTAGAATGACTCTTTGATTGAGGTCTTGATGTTTGTGTTTTTGTTGTTTATTTTTCTATTACAAGTTATAGTTTTGCTCGATTTCGAGCAACAGGTTATCTAGTCAAGATTAATCAGACAACTCTTTAAAACTTTATTGAACATATAATTCATTTGTGGTTGTCGTTAATAATCGACTGTTGGTTAAGAAACCAATAACTGTGCATGAGTTGACCCTTAAGAAAATTGAGTCAAAACTAACGTGTTAATCTTAGATAACATCTTAATCTTAGAGTTAATAAGACAACATGTTATTAACTAACAAAATTCATATTTTACTTGATTTTTTCATCAAAATTTTAGAGTTTGAGTTTTGAGTGGATATATCCGTATTGGGTCCCCCTGAATCCCAAAAGGGGTTTTCGAAGTGATGTCTGTATGTGTGTGTGTTTTTGTCTGTATGTATGTGTGGATGTGTACAGAGCTGTATCAGATTGTGATGAAAATTGGAATGTATTAATCAATGGTATCTCCAAAAGTTTTTATATTTTATTTTAAATATTTATTTATAATGGTGATTTCCCGATAAAAACCTATTAAATAACGGAAAAATTGAATTTTCTCGAAAATGGCCCAAACGATGTTGATAAAAAATAGTATGTTATAGACCTTTATATTCCGAACAAAATTATACAAATCCTATTGCTGTACAAATCACGGTTCAAAAGTTATTGTAACTTATGTTATCCCCCCCCCCCCAAAGAAAACCATAAAATGACGGAAAAATTAATTTTTGAAAAATAACCGATTTAATTAAAATTAGTAAACTAAATCGTAAAAATCTGTTAAGTAGGGAAGAAAGGGATGCTACAGAGAAACCCCTGCATGTTTACCTGTCGAACCTGAAGAAACGAAATAACTCATCAATTACCCGAGAATAAAATGTTTATAAATAATTCCTGAAATATGAGACCCTGATTTTTTTACATGGGCTTACACCACGAATACTATAAAAATCTTTTACAGTATTCATGGTTTAAACTGTACAGCACTGCCAGCACAATTACTTTCGGTGTCATTGTTAAATTAGCATACTCGTACTAGCAATCAATTAAACAATTAATGGATTAGTTATCTAGTGTATACTATTTAAACGAGTTCAAATAATAAAGGAATGGTTTCGTGTTTGTGTACGTATACAGACTTCTATGATAACATACAGTTTTAGTGTGAGTGATTGTTGTGTTTCAGATGTTACTAAGGCTACTGATTCCTTACCTTGCAACCTGCTTCGCTACAACCAGGTCTGCTGTGTCTGACATGTACACCCAGCTACCAGGGTGAGTAGACTAAGTGAATTTCCATTTGCCCGATTGGATTTTCAATTAAAATCTATTTAAATAGCATTATGTTTAACAAGTAGCCTACCTAGGTTTGCTGCTACAAGGAGGGTAATAACGTGGGACTACAACAGTTTACTTATTTTCCATAAGAATAGCGTGGTAATTTTTAATTTAGGATGTGTTGAATTTTCCCCATGACCAATAACCGTAACAATATACAAAATTATTTGTTTTTAAGCTCTAAAAAAATTGTACTAAGAGAAATTGGGACTTTGTTTGTTTTGAGGGTCAAAAATGAGAAAACCCAATTTTTACCCCACAAAACCCCCATAAAATATATAAATAAAAATTTGAACGAATAGTGTTTTTGGCCTCTGGGGACATCAAAATGAAAAAGTAAATCGGTTCCGGGCCCAGGTCTTACCATGAGAACTACGGTAATAACTAGTTCCCTATATGGGAAATTCGCTAAAACATCTAAACCAGCTGTTACAGATATTAGTATAGACATTCGGGCTAGTGACGTCTTTTGTTTATGTTTTTGATCAATACCGTTTCTGTTCTAATATTCGTGATTTTTACTTTAGTAATCGTGCAAAGTAAAGTATAGTTGATAGGCCTCTGAGGACATCAATAAAAAACATTAAATCAGTCTTGGGTTGAAGTCTTACATGGTCTTACCATGAGATTTTGGCTTACAGTATAAGACAATAAGACAATAGCATTCCCTATATGGGCAATTTCATAAAAAGCTGCTATAAAATACCACTGTCATTGTCTTTCTAATACACCATATTTGAGAATGTCAAATTAAAAGGCCAACTTATTATAAACCTGTGTAAATCGTAGGCCTATACCCACATCAACCAGCCATATGTGTTTATCGAAATTTTATTGTAAACATCTTTTAAGACAATTTTGAATTCGCTTGATCTGCAGGGGTAGGCCTATTTATTTATAATGTTGAAGGGTCTGATATGTGATTTGTGACAGAGGGCTGTTGCCCAGTCCTGTGAAGTACTTCCAGCAGAACGGCGACCTGATGGCGGTAGAGACCAGTGACAACTCTGTGACCACAGCCTCCTCTGCTCAGGACCGCGTCCAGCAGCCCAGACTGGGGTATCCGCTCTACTCTGGCACCTCGCTCATGGTAAATATACTTTGCCTAATACAATAGCCCTCGCCTAAGTCCAGAGAAGAGTCGCTAGCATTTTATGGTTCGAGGATACACCCAGCTTGAACATATATTTTGATTTAATTTATTTTTGCTTCCCACATTTTCTTATTTATCCTGCTGGAATAAAGACTTTAACGTTTCATTCAAACGTTTTAACATACACTGTACCGCTGATAAAAATATATTTTCGTTAATCCCTTGTCCAGTTTATTAATTTTATTTTTATTTATTTGTGCTTACTCTTGCCAATGACACTTTCAAACGTTTTTTGAAAGGAAACGGTTGAATTAATCCCTGGTCTTATATTGTGCTTAAGTAGTAAAATATGCTTTTATTTTTCATAATAATCATGATTAGTCTTCTAATCAAACTGAGATTTTTGATTTGCAAGCTTTTACAGCGTTTACCAATAAAATCCAGTGGTTTTCGGGGGCTAATCACGTTGTTAGTTGAAGATTTCTACTAGATAGAAGAGCCATCCTCAGTAGCTAGGCTATAGACCTCCTGCTCAGTCTCAGCCTAAACAATGATACGTCTACCACTATATGTATTCTAATGTAACTGCGAGTCTTCTACACAGGGAGGGTACGGCGGCACAAGCCCCGGTGTGGTCAGCCCGGTCAAGCTGGACCTGGGAGGTTTACTCCTGGGCACTGTGGTCGGCCTCGGCGCTGTGCTGCTCATCCCCAAACTCGTCAGCATCTTCTCCTACAACCACCACTACGGACGAGGTAGTACATGAGTGTGAATGTCTGTGAAATGGCAAACCTCTGTAGCACACAACTGTGTCCGTGTTTGTGAATTAATTTTCTTCATATAAACAAATATGTTATGTATAGAACATAGAACCAAACAACCAAACTAGTTTACTAGTTTATTCATGTGCCTAATTTGAAATTAATTAATCAGTGTTACCATTAGCCAACTAGTTTTTGGGATGATAAAAAAGAGGTTTGTTTAAAATATTGGAAGGAGAATAACTTAACGTGTTAGTCACAGTTTCAGTTTCCTTTTTAAAGTCAAATAGGATACGTGCAACCCACAAAAAAGGTAATTACTAAGAAAACTATAAAAATGAAATAGTAATTAATCAAATGTTGCATGGACGAGATTTTAATCACGTAAGATTAGCTTGATCGAGAGATTCTTAAAGTTAGTTCATCAGTCTCATAATTGTCTTGTTGACACAAGTGGTGGTAGCAGTCATTGATCTATCTGTTTGTCACCCTGTTCTAGCTGAAGAGGGTGGAGTCAGTGTATCTGCAGGACTAGCAGATGTCATGTCCAGAGTAGACGAGGCTCTTGCGTCACAGAACATCAACTCCACCGCGTGTATGGAGCGTGCTGCGTGTTCTCTCAGCCAGACATCATTGGACACCATCACCAGGTGAGCACTTCAGGCCGAATATGACTAGAACTCTGTACACGGGGGGCTATGATATCTTCGCGATCACTAATGAATTTCTTGATATTACTGCTAGTACAGGAGCCGGTCTGTCGACCACGGAGGAACGTGGATACATCGCCGTGATCACGGGAAATGACGTTGACGTATTTGCGGATTTGCGGTCGTAAGGGTGCTCTAAATTTCGCAGTGATCACGTGTTATGTTAAAAACTTCGCGGAGATAGCAGGGAATGATCAGGGAATGAGGCGGAGAGCCGTGATCATGGATTGTTGTCATGATGATAAAATAACGGTCTATCTTTATCTATATAGCGGTATATAGATGACCGCAGTCTCAGGAAGGTCACGAGTGAAAAAAGTGCGGATTTCTTCAGCCACTTGGCGACCTGATCCTCGCTAATTCTCGTTAATGTATGGCCATTGCATGATTTCAAAATTACTCAAATATCGTGACTATCAATTTGCTTCCATCATTAAGTTTTGGAAATCGTAAGTTCCTTTTAAATATTTCTTATTTTCTGATAGAATGTTTTTGTTAATTTCTTTTATTAAAGCTTTTAAAGTTCAGGGTTGGTGTGGTAATCGGACAGGTTGATGAGTTTGGCGAGGAGGATGAAGAAAGGGTTGTTGTATGTAGGTGTGCAAGTAAGGGGGAATGTACTTCTGAACTTGGGGGATGGGCTTCTCTGGTCATGGGATTAACATGGGATTAAATTTTTAGGCCTCGCCACTAAGGATGCCTCTGACTGAGGCATCCTTAGTGGCAAGGCCTAAAAATAAAGATTTAATAGTCAGTACTACCTCACAAGACCAGTAAGTCAGGGTTTAGCTGATATATTTATTTATTGAACTACTCGATTGTCTACAGGAACCCCTTGGTGAGTTTCCTGGTGGAAGGGTCGCGGCTGGAGCGGGCTCTACAGGCTGGCAGGTCAGGTCAGAGTTGTGGTCTGTTGTATCCTCGGTGTGGTGTCAACTATCAGTCAATCTCTGCAACCTTCGACAACGTCGCTGCAGCACTTCAGACCTAGCATCACACAGTGCATAGCTAATGTCAGTGATATGTTTGGAATCTTGTATTATTTTACAAAAAAATGACACTTTTTAAACATTTCCATACGGTACCTTGTTCTTCTTAAATATTTAATTGGTGGTTAAAATGAGGGTTTGTATATGGTTCTCTCTGTTTGATTATCTTTATGTGTCTTTAGCTAATTTTCTGTCCACTGGGTGGTATGTGTGGTTTGATTTTAATCCTAACCAAACATTGGATACAATCCCGATTACCTTGGTGTTCAGTTTCTAGGGTCTAGTGGCACTCGTTAAAATAGTTACACTGTTCACGTTAGACTTAGGGTTGTACTTCCTATCTTTGTACCTGATGAGCTATGATCTATGTTAAGAGATCCGTTAATGCAATTGTAAGGTAGTAAAACAAAGCATTTTAACAAAGCATTTAAAAAGGCATTTTATCTACTGACTATTAATATTGTAGTTATGTACACTAGTAATATAAAGTATAAGAAACCTACGATGTATAGTTATAGACATTTGTACAACTTACCTTTCTTGTAGGCCTACCAGAATTAAATATGTATTTTTTAGTTTTAATTTTTACAGTTAATGGCTTTTTGTTATTTTCGTTTATGATTAAACAGTTTTAACTAGTGCAGAAGATTTTATCCTTCCTTTAAATTCCACGTCTTGCTTCTAAACCCTATACATAAACTTTAACCACACGAGACAAACTTTATCTAAAGGAGAAACCCCTCTACGATAAAGTGATTTAAAATAGTAATTACATCTTTAAAAAAGTTTAATATTGGAAAACTCTTTGTAAAAACACTCGTTGTGAAACCCTCTTTGACCTAACCTCCACAGTTATATAAAACTGAAGGCAATATTACCGGTAATGTTAATAAATACTTGAACATTAGTGCTCTGGGTAATGAATCTAATCGTATAACAAACACAGTTGATTTGTAAACCCACATATTGAAAGTCATAATTGTAAAATCTTCCTTCCAAAACATGGCATCACACAAGGCCACACTAAAAAAACAGGCCGTAATGCTCGTGAAGCATGACGTCACGATAGAAGAAGGCAATGACGTAGTTTACCGTTTGTGATCAGCTGCTTGTTTTAATCTTTCCTTGGAAAATAAATAAACAAAAACCCTTTGTCACAAAAATATTAAACATTACGTCATTGCCGTCTTCTATCGTAGCGTCATGCTTCACGAGCATTACGGCCTATCACATCCACGGGTAGTAGCCCATTGACAGATGACCAAAGATGTGGAAGATTAACTATACAACTGATACAGGAAATTTAATGCTCTTGAGTGTGGATCCGACTTTTAAAGCTTGAGGCCAACCCAGAGTCACTGTTGTATGCCGAGCGAAATGTTTCATGCTAAATTAAGTTAAGACTCAACGAACATTTTCGAACAAATTATTATGATAACCAAACATAAAGGGTCAGTGTTTGACGTATTATTATATGTCAAGTTGCTGAATTTTCATATTCATTTATAATGATAATCATTAAATTTATGGAATGCACGTGTTGAAGAAATTTTGTGTCTAGGGTTAGGATTTTGTATCTGGACCATCTTTATCGAACATTGTGCCTGGGTACAATTAATCGATAAATAATTATATACAATTTTTTCGTCATACTGCACCAAAAACAGCCCTTTTAAACACATGCGTTGTGGGTCTAAAATAACCCTGAAGGAATAAAAACCCTTTTTAGTACCTAGGGAGTCAGCTGTTGTTAACTCAGTTGTAAATTTCGGTTGTAAGTAATCGCATATATGAAAAGTATATATTATAAAATAAATACAGTAAAACGGTTGTTGCTTATTGTTGCCTTCATGTCAATAGTTCAACATATCGTTAGTTGTACACTAAACACAATCGTAATTGACGAAATAATTGAATCACTTACTAAACAGCTGCTTCTTTACATTAGCAAAATTAAACCAGTTGGAAGTCGTTTTGAGAGGTTATTTTTGCATACAAACTAGTTTCGTTTTGTAACATAGTTTGTTTAAATAATGGTGCAATATGAATAAAAATATAGCTCATCACAAGGGCGAAATAGTTATTTGTGCAACTAGTGAGAAAAGTGAGCAATTGACTCACTCGAGAGAAATCCTTACTCACGAGCCGTAGGCGAGTGAGGAATGGTTTCTCGAGTGAGGCAAATGTACTTTGAACTCGAGTTGCACATTATACTTTTCCTACAGTTACCATAAAACAAATAAATTGGTGAAGAAACATAACCTATTTTTACACAGAAGTGAACTTTTAATATAACATTTAATGTGAAGTGACAAATACAACAGTACAACAGCTGACCAGCTGATTTACAGCCAGTGCTGCCAACGTATTTCGCGCGCATACGACGTTACGCGCTCACTATTTCGTGCATTCACGTTGCAAATCTGGAGTGAGACAAAGTAATTAGAGTGAGACAATGTTAACATTGTCTCACTGATGAGCGAATTGGCCACTTTGCTTTCTCAAATCAGTGAGAGAACATGTACATTGTTAGGTAACTGTAGGAAAAGTGTATTTTCAATAATGTTTGTGAAATTAGCGGAATATTAACCTGTAATATACAGGGTTTTCATAAAATAATGGTGGGGTTTTAACTGTCTGTAAAACTAGTATAAAACAAATTAAATATTTCATATTGGTAGCCCTGGATCCGGTAGCTCAAACAATTTTTCTTCGCATTAATTTAACCAGCTGTGTTTATTCTTGTGCTAATCGACAACCTACTTATTCTTTAAAATAAACTTCAAGTTGTATTTTCTTATCAACATGTTTTCCGTCAAGGAAAGCTAAGTGTGTAACTAAGTGAACTAAAGTCAGTGACTCTAGTATAACGGTCATTTATGAAGACATAGTTTATTCAAAAAAAAAAAAAAATAATAATAAAAAAATGCCCTAGAAAGGACCAGAGATGCAGTCGCCATTGTAATAAGAGAAATGTTGAACGTCTTGGCTGGAATAGATAGATCATCGTCTGGACGTCTGTAGAGCAAGAAATAGTTGTCATGTTGAAACAGTTAAGGCTATGTATAAAATCTTTTTAATATCAGGAATCAACAAAATAAATAGTTGTTTTGTATCTTTCTCGCTTTTTTTATTTCATAACTAAACCAAACCATTATTTTATGAAAACCCTGTATAATACAAAACTTATAAGGTACAAAAATATGGCTATAAGAAAAGGTAAATCTTGAGGAAAGTCAAAAGAAATCATGTATGACAAAACACAATTTCGTAGTCAAAATAAAACTAAAATGTAATACAGTGAAATTTCTTTATTTTCATACGAGGTCATATACAAGATTCGAATTTTACTAGGGGTTCAAAACTTGTCTCCGATGCATAACAAATCGACAGTCAAGAAATACATTATGATATAAATAGTAGTTTTCGTTACTAGTCTCTTTAAGCATTTTGTAGGCATTTTGGGACGATATCGTGTTTAACCGGAAATTCGATTAAGTCACAAAAAAACATTTTAGGACGAGTTACGAACAATATTTTTCATTACATTGTCATATCCCTATAACAGCCCTATAAAACCAATGGATTTTATCTAAGTGATAATGCCGCAACCCCTAGGTCTAGCCTGAAGTAATGTGAAAAACAATCCCAGGCTCGTGCCTAGCATCCTTAGGACAAAAAAAATCCCTATAATAGCAGAAAATACAAAATATAGCCAAAACCATTTGAAAATGTTGACTTTACCAAACAAATCGAACGAATGTATATTATTGAAGTATTTTAAAGGATCAGAACAGCTGATTTGTTTTATAGATAAGCTTTGACATAACCATATGATTCGAGTCAGTAAAATTTTACGGACTAGTCCGCAAAAAGCTATCTTTAGGCACTCAAAACGATCCGTAAGACAGGCTGTTTTTCAGACAGTGTAATAAAATAGTATATTACGTTACTAGTCCTGAAAATACGTGTTTACCAGACGAGTGTGGTCGTTCCCGTGCGAGACGAAGTTGAGTACAGGATTACCGAGTCCGGTACACACATTTTGGACGAGTTACGTACAATAGTTTACGCCATACTACTAAATCCGTACAAATCCTTATATATTTCCACCAACTAAAGGACTAAAAATCACTATTATAACCACTCACTTACTAAATTAATTTAGTATGGCGTAAAATAATTTATGTTTGTTTGAGACAGTTATTTGAAGAATAAAACAAAAATAGGCCTATTCAATATTTAAAATGTGTTGATTGTAGAAGTACCATTTACTCTCTAAGGATTAAAAAATGGTCCTCGGCTTCGCCTCGATTGTAAAACTTGACCTCGGGCCAAAAAGAGTCACTTTAGGCCCTAGTCATGAAATATACTATTTCATCACTTGACAACAATCTGATCTAATTGAAAAAATTCAACTGAAATTAGTCAGCTGTTTAATACCAATTCGCCAATTCACGTTAAACAGTTGTAATGAAAGTTGACCAGGAGCACTGTCCCTTTGAAAGCGCTATCTATAAATAAATCATAGGCTAAAGGGTGAAGCCCTGAAGAAAACTGTCATTTTACTTACCATTTGTCCCTGCGCTGGATCACAAGCCTTAAAATAACAAATAAATAAAAAAAACAATTTTCAATTAAATCAACCAAACTTTCATTCACTGAAAAACCAATTTTGGTTTAATTGAATTGAAAAAAAACCCTGTTAAGTTAGGACAGGTGGAAAAGGGATTTTACAGAAAACACTCTTTATTGTAAAGACTTATGTAATAGACAACATCAAATAATGTACAGTATTATGTTTAAACATACTGTATATTTATACACAAGAATACGAACTAACAATGTTCTAGATGTGTTGCACATTTAATTATGTGCATTACGAATAAACTTTTTCAAGTTTTTAGGTTTTTATCATAGAATTCTTAGATTATTTAAATGTTAAGCTTTGTTCAAAGCATTTTGCCATTTTCAACGTAATGAAATAAAAGGCACATGCTTATGTAATA